CCCACATGTCTGATGCCCCTCAGTACTGGGCTCCACCAGGGCAGGAGAAGACCCATGAAGCACCTAATGTTGGGATGCTGACCACTTCCAAGACCCACTTCTGCCCTCATCACTTGTGCAGACACCATCCAAAATGCCCAGGGCAAATTAATTCTGTTTTACCACCCTAACAGCAGAGAAACACAACAGCTTCAAAGGGTGGCAGCAGGGTTGGGGGCATCCCCAGAGTCCCCAGGCTACTGCATCTTCATCCCACTTTCCCAGCTCTTCTTCCCTTCCAAACCACTCCCTTTTGCAGACACAAATGTGGTAACGTCTTGCACTTGTTTAGACTCTGCCTTGGTTGCTGTGTGCAGTAACATCTTCCAGATGTGTCCAGCTCTTTGCATAATGTCGCTGCAGCCACGTCCTGCCTGCTCTGGCTTTATTTAATATATTTAATTCTTTTTAATGCCCTTCCTTGCTCCCAACCCTGATCCACTCTGTAGGAAAAAATCCTGGCCAACGCCACCAGCACCTCTCCCCTATCAGAAAGCTTTTCGTGAGATGAGTGTTCTGCCTATCCAGCATGTCTTCTACCCTGGAAACTTTTCCAGAAGCTACATAAGCTCCTGGAAAACACCCTGCTGACACACAGCCAGTGCTGGGGTGAGGGTGAGATGAGGCCGGAGGTGGGAGACAGGAATTTAAGCTCTGCTCCAGAACCCAAATCACTGCAGCACCTTCATAGATGTGTCAGAGAGGACCAGGGAGCTCCAGAGCTTGGAGCTCTCGTAGCACTGAAGCATGCAGGTCTGCAGGGACAGGCAGAGATGGTCAAAGCCCTGATGCCACTCTTGTGAGCTCACCACGAGGTCCTTGCCTTTGGGGGGATGCTGAGCCCCCTCTCACATGGAAATCTGGTCTGCCGGCCACAGTTTTTCCTTCTTGACATGGCAGAAGCTGTTCCTGCAGTGGCCGTTGCCACCAGCACAAGGGGAAAAGTTCTGGAAGTGTCACATTTGGGTGAAACACTTTGTTTGGCAACAGTGACTACAGCAGTGTTCCTAAGAGACAAAACACATGTGGGTTAATGGCCACAACTACCCATGGGCTGAATAATAATTTGCTGGAAAAGCTTCCCAAAGCTCCCAGCAAATCCCATCCAACCCCATTTGGTGGAATACCATCCAACCTGGCCTTGCTGGCAAATTGGTAGGACAGGCAAATTGGTCTCGTGCGTGGCTGGTGCAGCGCAGGGGCTGTCCTAACACAGTTAGGCTACCCCTTCTTGTGCACTTCATCCCACCATGCAAAGGCTGAGCAGGGTGAGATGTAAGACACTTCAACTGCACACTTAAGGTTAACAGGGCTCATGGACAACTGACTTCTTGTGGGAGCTTTTTTCCTTCAACTGCTGGGGTTCCTGAAAGAGGGAAACTCCATGGTCTCGGTGCCTTCACGCAAAAATAGGGAAGGTCTTCCTGGGAGGCTGGGGGCTGGCTCTGACACATCCTTGTATCATTGGTATCATTGACCAAGGAAAATGGAATGACCAAGAAAAGGTGAACAGGGTCCAGCATGGCAGATAGATGTGGAGATCTGGTGTTTAGTTCAGCCACCGTTAAGGATGGGGTCTCCAGGAAGAGCGAAGCTCTGGAGAAACAAGGAGCATGGGGAGGGAGGCCCTGGTGACACAGGTGAAGTGTTGGGTCTCCTTCCTGTCTCATTGCAGCAGTGTGATGCCCACAAAAAGGACATCTCTTGTAGCTTTCCCTCTTCCTTTCTCTTGCTGAGATATGAGTTAGAAACCCAGTGACTCCACAAGATCACAGGGGGTCTTGAATGAAGGATCAGCCACAACAATACAGAGACTGGAAAATGTTTAGGGGAACTAGGTGAGGTTCATATTTTCTTGCTATAACTGATCTCGGGTAGTTCAGTTTACATTTCCATAGTTTTGGTCTTCTCTAAGAGAAGTGTCAGCAAGGACAAGGGACAAGAAGAAAGCTGATGCCCTGTAATAGCTCAGACACCTTTGAGTTTGTGAGGACCTAGGCAAGAGCCTGTAGGTATTCAAAAGATGTGTAGATGTGGTGATTAGGGACATGGTTTAATGATGGACTTGGTAGTGTTTGGTTTACGATTGGACTCAATGATCCCAATGGTCTTTTCCTATCCAAATGATACTATGATTCTATGAAGAGCCAAGTGGACCTGAAAGGGTATCTCCAAGGTGATACCATGTCCCCCTGCTGGCTCTGCCTGCTTGGCCTGGATTCACTGCTTTAAGTGCAATGACTGTACTCTGCTGGGCATCTTCTGTAGGCTGGAAATCATACAGGTACGTGCTCCAGGAGATGGTGAGATGAGCTGCCTTGCTGTCCACCCTTCCTGAGCCAGCACTGAGCCACCAGCACAGCAGGGCATGAATGAGTTTGGGAAGAGCCCTCCAGATTGCCATGGCCTTACCCATGGGATATAGGATGGGGGCTGAGGATCTCTTTAGGGATGCATCATGGGCTTGGCAACTGTTTTTCACTCAGCAGCTGGTTTTCTGAGCAGGCATATGGATCGTGGAAAAGAAAGGATCAAATCAGGCCAGGAGAGAGAATAAAAAATGGGGAAAGCAAGAACATTCCTAGAGGCTCTCTGGCCTTTCTCCTTCCAACCTCCTGAGAGGAACAGGAGGAGGAGAGAGACATAACAAAAGGCACAAGAAAAGAATAAGCCAAAGCAACGTTAACAAGAGGGTTGCAAGGTCCAAAGCAAGCAGCGTCGTGATGCAACAGGGCAGGCCCCTTCCCAAAAGCCCGTCAGCTTCTGGAGGACCCATGGTCCTGCAGAAAACACACTCCTTTTAAGGCCAGGCGAGGAGGGCCGTGGTGCGGGAGCTCTGCCCTACTAAGGGAAAACATCTCCCACTTACTGTTTGCAACGAGAACACCCAGAGCGTGAGTATAGACAAGCTCTCAAAGGACGACTGAAATACCACTGCTTCGCTTTGACCCCAATTCTTCTTTCTTTTATATTTATTTTTTCCCTCTTTGATTTGTCACTTCTGCCTCCAAACTAGGAAAAAAATAATAAATTATAAAATAATAAAAGAAAATCAATTATTTGGGTGGGACTGGATGGATTCAGTGACACCCTCACATCGCAGCGTGGGGATCAGGCTCAGAAGGGCCTCCAGAGGACAGGGGTGAAACCTCCCCTGAGCAAGCAGCCCTTCCTGAGGAGGATGGTCTCCTTCCTGCAGGCAGCTGCGAGCAGCAGCCGTGCTGGTGTTCACCCTCCTCCCCTGCACAGTGGAAGGGCTGCGATCCAAGCCAGGGAAGACACTGTTACTCCACTCTCCAATATGATGCCAAGGCGCATGCCAAGGCCATCCATCCATCCACCGCTGCAAATCACAGCCCCGGCTGACCCGGCATCTCACTGCCCGAGAGGGAGCCACCACCTCCTGGAGCTGTAAAGCACACCTTATGCCAAGTCAGGCGGTATTTTCCTCTTGAGGGATTGCAGCTCCTCCGGGAATAGCTTTTCCTCTCTGGTTTGACGGAGGCAGGGAGGGGAATCCATACTGCAAATAAGACCCTGACACATCAGAAAGCTCAGGGAAGCTCCTGAATTTGTGTTTTCTCAGTTTTTCATGCACCTAGTAATTTGCCCACCCACAGGTATCTGCTGCATCCAGCAGCAGGCAGATTTAATTCTCAGAGGAGCACATATTGGATTCCAGGTCTCATTTCCTACCAGTAATGCCAGTATTAGGAAGTTTACTTACAACCCTTGAATTCTAGTACAGTGGTGAGAAGAACAAAGTGTTAAAGAAAAATTGCTTGGAGGAGGAAGGTGGAGACAGCCTCCCCCCAGTCATAGTGTTTATATTAAAAGGGTTCTCCAGAGCTCACATGGTACAATGTCTTACTCAAAACAGGCAAGAAGGGGGAGGAAGAAATTCATCTTTTCATGTCCTTGCTGCTCTCTCACTGCTCCACCCCAGGATGTGGACCAAAGAGGAGCCCTGACCCATACCCTTCACAGCCCAAACATCTGCACTGCTGCTGAATGTCAAGAAATACTTCCTGGGTACCAAAACCCAGAGTGAGGTAAGGCTGTGATGGGTCTTTTCGCACTGCCTGGCTTAGTGTGACTTTAGTGTCCTTGCATCCCTGGCACAGTGTCGCTGTTGACAGATATCAATTCATTAGCAGTGGGGCTCATTAGAATCAAGTGCAGCAAAAACACAGCACCAGAATTGGTACCATGAAGTACTTTTTCCAGGTGGGTCACCAAAATAAATTATAAGGGAGGAGAGCACACCGCAGTTGACAGCACCCTGCTTTTTGAGTTGGTCCTGCTTGTCTCTGAGATGAGTTACAGCAGAGGAACAGAGCATTGCAAGGTCTTCTTTTTTTGGATAAGGCACTGGCACGGGTTCCCCAGAGAAGCTGTGGCTGCCCCATCCCTGGCAGTGTTCAAGGCCAGGCTGGATGGGGCTTGGAGCAAACTGGTCTAGGGGAAGGTGTCCCTGCCTGTGGCAGGGTGTTGGAACTGGATGAGCTTTGAGGTCCCTTCCAAACCAAACCATTTTGGGGTTCTAGGATTCTCTGAAAAAGAGCTCATTTCAAGTGTTACTTAACTGCAGGTTTTAAGATTGAGGCCTGTGCACTGGATGTATCAAGGAAGCCAAGCCAGGTTGTCCTCACTGCTGTTGTATTGGATAAACAATCTCTATTAACAACTTGACTTTGCAGTTTTATTATTTTGGGGGAAAAAAAAGTTAGTTTTATCCTCCCACCAGGCCTTTCTCCAGCCATTACTTGCTACCGCTCTCCTGCATCACCAATTTAACTGCTGTTGTGTTCAGGGCACTGGACAAAAGCAAATTCAACATAATTTAACCTTTTCCATGAATAAGTGTGTGGATTCTATATTCTAGGTGGGGAAGGTGTTTATAATTTATATATGTTTTTTAAAGCCCTCAGACTATTAAAGAACCTAAATTGCCACAGGACTGGAGAAAAGGTCCTTTCATTGCTCAAAAGCTGGTTAGAAGAGAAGAAGAAAAAGGTAGGGCTTTAATGGTCATTTTTCAGGGTAGAAAAAGAACCCATGGCGAGGTATACCAGAGACTGAGTCCTGGGGTTCTTTTTGACATCTTTATCAGCAATCTGGAGGAGTAAGAGTAGGCCTACATCTCTGTGTTTGCAGTGAGCTCTCCCAAGGTCATCAAGTGCCACACTGACAGCAAGAGACTCAAAGAAGCTCTAAAAAGAAAAGGAAAAGCAAAGAAGGAAGTTTCAAATGAACTTTGGTGTAGGAATACGGAAAGTAAAGCATCTGGAGGAGAAAGCATGCTTGCACTATGCTGAGGTTGGAACTGGCAGCTAGAGCTGAGATCTTGGATTGCCACCAGGAGCTCTCTGAAATTGCTGGCTCAGCACACAGCCAAGGTGCATTCAAGGTGGCAGCCAAAAAAAGCCAAGAAATTGTTATTTCTCTGCCTTGCCTGAGCAAATCCAATGCTCAGGGCATCACTTTGCTGCCTCAGAAAACCCCGATGCATCCACGTTTCAACTGCTGTGTGTAGTCCTGATGTCAAAGAGGGGCATGATAGGGTTGGGGAAGCAGAAAGAACAACTACTAATATAGCTGATGAGGTTGGGCAGGTGCTTTACAAGGTAGAATGACAGCCTCAGGACCCTTCAACTTGGAGAAGGGAATGGTGTTGGGAGCTTACAAGCAAGGAGCAGCAAATCATAAAGGCAACATATACAGTAAATGCAAAACTATTCTTAGAATCATAAAATCACAGAATGGTTTGGGTTGGAAGGGACCGTAAAGCTCATCCAGTTCCAACTCCCTATCATGGGCAGGGACACCTTCCACTAGACCAGGTTGGTCTAAGCCCCATCCAGCCTGGCCTTGAACACTGCCAGGGATGGGGCAGCCACAGCTTCTCTGGGCAACCTGTGCCAGGGCCTCACCACCCTCACAGGGAAGAACTTCTTCCTCAGATCTCATCTCAATCTCCCCTCTGTCAGTTTAAAGCCATTCTCCCTTGTCCTGTTCATACCTGCCCTTGTCAAAAGCCCCTCTCCAGCTTTCTTGTCAGCCCCTTTAGGCACTGGAAGCTGCTCTAAGGTCTCCCCAGAGCCTTCTCTTCTCCAGGCTAAACAAGCCCAGCTCTCTCAGCCTGTCTCCGCAGCAGAGGTGCTCCAGTCCTGGGAGCATATTCGTGGCTTCCTCTGGACTCACTCCATCAGCTCCATGATGTAATGATTACTGATACTGGGAGAGCATCAGTAAAGGGAATGAACTGAAGGAATTTTTGCCTTGCGTGTTCTCCTGAAATATTATCTCCTGCTGCTGCTATGAAAGACCATTAGGTTTGACAAACTTACAGAAAAATGGGGCAGTTTACTAGTCCAGACTCCCCCCAAATCCAGCAAGATGCACATGGATTAGTGCTCATCACCTCTAAGCTTCATCAAGAAGAAGCAATAAACTTCAGTCCTCATCCAATCCATAGCTAAAACATACATTAAATGGTTCCTGCATTGTCTTGTGCAAACATAACGACTGAATTTCTGTGACAGCCCAGAAGGGCTTTGGTTCCACCCCCAAGTCACGTTTGCAGTGCAGCGATGGGCTTGCTTGTTGATGTGCCAGGTGTGAAAGCTGCATGGGTCTTCCCAGCACGGGGCTTGCAGTTCAAAGACATCTTTACATATGAAAGGATAACGCGGTAAGAAACAGCATTTCATTAGTCAGGAAGTTATAAATTGATATCTTGATTGAAATAATTATCAAGAATTACAGGAAATACCCAGAGATGCATTTATATTCAAGAGAGTCTTTGGAAACTTTGCCCAACTAGGAGTTTCTGTTCAAGGATACAGCACATCAAAATGAATTCCCACCTTTCAGACCCACCACTTGAGTCCTGCCCTTTACCTATTTTCTTGGAACAAACCAGATGCTTACTTTTTTTCCTTAGATAACTTTGGGTGGGAGGTTATTTTTAAGAGTACTGTTGAAACACTGGTGCTTGGTGGACTTGTGAAGCACATATGTGTGAGCTGAATAATTTCAAAGCCCCTTTGCTCTATTAGGTCCCTGGTATTCATGGGGAACCTTTCCATCACAAAGGGGTATAAACTGGTAACATGAAAGACACAAAACCATCTTATGCAGTAAATACTCATACAGAGAAAGAACAGTCAATTTTCTTCCACTACCTAAGCTACATGGAAAATAATCCCCCAAACAAAAAAATTTCCACGGTGAAGATCACATAGAAACATTCTCAATTTGTATTAGTACTAAAGAAAGCACTTGACAGGCTGAGAAAGTTGGGGATGTTCAGCCTGGAGAAGAGAAGGCTCTGGGGAGACCTTAGAGCAGCTTCCCATGCCTAAAAGGCCTGACAAGAAAGATGGAGAGGGGTTTTTGACAAGGGCAGGTATGAACAGGACAAGGGGGAATGGCTTTAAACTGACAGAGGGGAGACTGAGATGAGATCTGAGGAAGAAGTTCTTCCCTGTGGAGGCGGTAAGGCCCTGGCACAGGTTGCCCAGAGAAGCTGTGGCTGCCCCATCCCTGGCAGTGTTCAAGGCCAGGCTGGATGGGGCTTGGAGCAACCTGGTCTAGTAGAAGGTGTCCCTGTCCATGGCAGGGGGTTGGAACTGGGTGAGCTTTACGGTCCCTTCCAACCTGAACCAGTCTGCAATTCTATGAAAAATACAAAATGCTGCTACTTGTGCTGGTATCTTGATTCAGGGAGGATGCAGAAAGATATTTAGCAGAGAGGGTCATGTGGGTGAGGTGGAAGCTAGGAGAAGATATGTTAGGGTGGAAGGCCCAGAAAGCATACACTATCACTCAGTTTTTCAAAGGTAAGGTTACAGGGGGGATTAGAAACACCGGCTCCAAGGCCAACTATGGGAAACAAGCAATGGGCACCTTCAGCCAATGTTTTGTAAGACCCAGCATCCAGAACCTCGTCAGACAAGCTGAAGTTCAACTTAAGAGGCCAGCCCCTGCTCACATCCCCACACCCCTGGCCCAGCTGGAAGAAGAAAGATGGCAGGGACAGACAACATGAAGCAGGAGGAAAGCAGTGCTGGAAGGCAGGAATGTTACTTATGATGTGCTGGGAAACTGAAGAGATACACAGCCAGAAGTCTCTGGGGATCTGTCCCAGGCCTGGTACTGCTCAAGATATTTTTTTGATAATTAGTTGCATGAATAGAAAATCTGCTTCTTCTAGCTGCAAATGATACCAAGCCAGGAGGGACTTTGAGTACTTTGGAGGATGGGCTGGAACTTCAAAACAAGCTTGACACATTAGAGAAATAGCCTGAAAAAAAAAAAAGGCTGCAATTTAGTAGAAACAAAAGGAAGACTCACTGCTTGTGTAAGAATAGTTGAGCTGCAGAGCACAGCACAGGCAGGGATGCGGCAGGGGAAGGCAGGGGCAGCAAGGCATCCCTACCGGGATGCAAGCAGCCCTGCTCACATCACTGCAAAAGCAGTAAGACAGACGCAGGGACATGTAAATGATGTCTGAAGGACACGTGGATTGATATTTTAGATCTCCGTGGCACCTTGAAGCCTTGGCTAGAGTATGTTGTTCATTTGGGTATGATGACTTGGGGATGTTACAGGCTGGTGGTGGAGTCCAGGAGTTGGGAGATCTAAGAAGTTGAAACTTCCCCTAAAAAAAAACAAGCCTAACCCCTTTCCAAACCACCCCCAAAAAATCACAAAGGTCTTGGAGCTATTTAATCCAGAAAAGACCAGATCTGGGCAAAAGCCAGCCCAAGCCTTTTACAAATATTTAACGTGGTTATTCTCTTCCTTTCTAACTGCAGGAAGTAGTGATAGGCTTAAGTGGCAGCAAAGGAGCTTTAGTTTAGACATCAGAAAATACTTTCTTCTAAAAAAAAGTCAATTTTTTTTTCTATTTCTATACTTTTATATATACATATATATATATATAGTGTGGGGCTAGTTCAAGCAATTTTGGTTTTGCATTTCAACTCCTAAATCTCAGTGCCGGCATTTTTTGCAGATAGGTTGGTTAAAAACTACTGCAATTAATACAGCTAAAGTGGATCCTGCCTCTATGAAGGAGAAAACTGCATAGGCAGAAAGGTCCCTTTTTACTGTATTCTCCATCATAAACTTCTTCTGAAAGGCACTGGTTTGAAGCTATTGATAGAAATGAAAGACAATCATGGAATCTGTGCAGTTTCCTCCAGGAAGTCTATAGGAAATCCATCATTAGAACTGCATTTCTGCATCTGTATGTGCGTTTTGGCACTTACAGCTGTTTCTTTTTTTTTTTTGTCTTACACCCCCCTAGTTTAATGGAAAAAAAACAAGAGGTGTATTGATAGACTCAGGATATCATGCAATCACAGTATGGTTTGGGTTGGAAGGGACATTAAAGCTCATCCAGTTTCAACCCCTTACCAGGGGCAGGGACACCTTCCACTGACCAGGCTGCCCAAAACCCTGTCCAACCAGTGCTGTGCCACACTCAAAGTAAAGAAGCTCTTCCTCATATTCAGTTTGAACTTTCTGGGTTTCAGTTTACGCCTGTTGCCCCTCATCCTTTTGCTGGGCACCACTGAAGTGTCTGGCTGCATCCTCTTGACACCTGTGCTTAATGTATTTGTATGCATTCATAAGATCCCCTCTCAGCTGTCACTTGTCCAGGCTGAACAGTCCCAGCTCTCTCAGCCTTTCCTCATATGAGATGCTCCAGACCCTGAATAATTTTTGTAGCTGGACTCTTTCCAGTAGCTCCTTGCCTTTCTTTAACTGGGGAGCCCAGAATGGGACACAGTGCTCCAGATGAGGCCTCACGAGGGCAGAGTAGAGGGAGGATGACCCCCCTTGACCTGCTGGCAATGCTCTTCCTGCATCACCCCAGGATACCATTGCCCTTCTTGGCTAGAAGAGCACATTGCTGGCTCATGGACAACTTGCTGTCCACCAGGACCATCAGGCCCTTCTCCACAGAGCTGCTTCCCAGCAGGTCAGCCCCCCAGCCTTGCATGCACTTATTTCTCCCTGGATGCAGGACCCTATACTTGCCTTTGTTGAATTTCAATAGGTTGCTCTCCACCCAACTTGGCCTGTCCAGGTCTTGCTGAATGACAGAACCAGCACTTTTGTCAGCCACTCCTCCCAGTTTCATGTAATTAAGCAAACTTGCTGGGGGCACCCTCTATCCCTTCATCCGAGCCATTGACGAATAAGTGAAATAACACTGGGCCCCATACTGACCCTTGGGGGGCACCACTAGTTACAACTAGACTCTATGCCACTGATCACAACCCTCTGAGACCTGCTATTCAGCCAGTTCTCAATCCACCACCTCACCATCCACTCATCCAGCCTGCACTCCTGAGATTGTCTATGACTTTCCAAAGATGATGGAGAATGGCTTAGCAGTAACATCTGCCAGCCCCCTCAGCAGTTGTGGCTGTATCCCATCAGGGCCCATGGATTTGTGGTTGTCAAGTTTGCCTAAATGATCTCTAAACTGGTCCTCCTCAACCATCCTGTTTGTCACAAGGATTGTCTTTGAAGAAGGGAGAGGTAAGAGCTCAGGGGCTGAAGGCTGTTGCTATTCAGCCAGATCTGAATAACCATGTAGCTTCTAGCAAAGTCAGCGGTATATGAGGTATCTAGTGCATTCCCCAGAATAGTGTCCAAGGCATGGCTATGCCAGTGACAAATGGGTGACATGGGCAGGCAACGTGGAGAAGCCCTGGTCAGTGCTAGTCGTGGGACACAGAGAGGACTGATAGGTTGCTATGTTAAAGAATCTGAAAATAAGTGAAATGAAACAACCAGGGAACCATTGCTCGCTATTTCTCTTAAAATAGCAGCTAAGGACACTCAATGAAGTTATCAAATGCACATTACAGTAGAAAAAAAAGGAATTAATTCCCCACCCCCAGTGTTACTTCTTTAAAAGGTGGAAGCCGTCACTAGAGGATTCTAGAGACCTCAACAGCATAAAGGGATTAATAACAAAAATACCCTCAACAGCTTTATAGAGCCACTATTAAGCACAGTTGTTTACACAGGGCCGTTGCAAAAAGCCCACTAAGTTGTCTTCTTGCTTTTTCCTTTCTTTTCACACCTGCAATTGGTTATAACCACCAATACACTGCTTTTACCAGGAAAGCTTTCCAGCTTTCAGCCAGAGCCCACAGATGGCATAAACCAAAAGTCCTCCATGGTTGAGGCTGCCCCGCAGCGTGAAGGCAATTTCTAACAGCAAGGCACGTCAGGCAGGCAGGCAGTTGCTTTAATCTGGAACAAGCAGCATCTGGTTTGGCCATGTGAGTGGGCAGGGGCACCCAGGGTGGAGGTTTGCCAGGGGAGCGCTCGCCTCCCTTTGCCTTGGAGTTCTGCGACAGTGAATTCCAACACATAAAACTGACATTCATATGATGATGAAAACAACCCAAACACCTTCCCTTATGCCAAATAAGCATCTAGAATGGGTTTGCTTCTTCGTTTTATCTCAACCGTACTTCTTCAACAAGCATCAGAAGACCCAAGAGCCTCTAAATCGATTCATCTCACTGGTACCTTCCTGAGAGAGCTGGGCATTTCTCCTGGAAGTGCAGCACTCAGTCCTTTACCTTCCCTGATTCCTAACAACCTTCCCAATCCTCCTCAGGCTTTCCATGGCTTCTTTTCTAAAATGCATTGGGGAGTAGTTATGCAGATGCTGCCCAAATGATGGGATGGGCAGCCAAGGCTCCAGGAGCCAGGGAGAACTTTTCCTTCTCTTCTGTCACAGGGTGCATGATGAGCTGGAGGAAAAAGCCCAAGAGGAAGGGCAGTCCCTTCCTGACTAAATTAAGGAATTAACTAAGGAATTTTGCAGCCTACGGTCAGGACTAGGACATAATGCTCCTTTGGGAGCTACATGTGCTTGCAAGGTGTGATGAGCTCAGCACTCGCTGTTATACCACTGTGGGGGTAAGGATACTTGGTTCTCTTGGGCTGCATCATACTTTTCTGAAGACAGACATAGAATGGTTTGGGTTGGAAGGGACCTTAAAGGCCATATAGTTCCAACCCCTCTTGCCATAGGCAGGGACACCTTCCACTAGACCAGGTTGCTCCAAGCCCCATCCAACCTGGCCTTGAACACTGCCAGGGATGGGACAGCCACAGCTTCCCTGGGCAACCTGTGCCAGTTCCTCACCACCCTCACAGGTAAGAGCTTCTTTCTCAGATCTCATCTAAATCTACTGTCTTTCAGCACAAATCTATACTCCCTTGTCCTATCCCTACCTGCCCCTCTCCAGCTTTGCTATTGGCCTCTTCAGATACTGGAAGGCTGCTCTAAGGTCTCCCTGGATCCTTCTCTTCCCCAGGCTGAACAAGCCTAACATCAGAGGAGAAACACCAGTTAATACCAAATTAACACTCGCTTCCCTGTGTGCCTCTACTGTGACTCTGAAATATATTACTTCTATTAAAAAAACCACAGGAAAACTGCCACAGACTGATTTTGCATGTGCAATCCTCCCTGCTTCAGACAGATTACATGGATATTATTAAATTCCAGACTGGGGCCCTTTAATTGTTTATATAATTTTTAAATTTTTAACTCACCACAGTTAAACATTTTAAAATTGGGTGGCAAAATCTTTACTGTTTCACAAGCATATAAGAACATAAAGTTATCTATATGGGTGTGGAGTGGAGGTGGGGCATTCAAAGCTTTATCTTTTCATTATTTAAATCCCAGGCAATGTTCAGTTTGGAAATTAAGCCAGATGGATTCCAGAGTGCAGCTCAAGGTCATCTAAATACTGTGTTCTGCTCCAAACTGTAAGCATGATCATGATGAACCACACAAAGCCATCAACAGAAATTTAATACACTGATAGATACTCAGTGATCTTCTGAAAGAGCACGTCGAATACTTCTTACCCTCAAGTGCAAGGACACAAGTAGCCCTTGTTTAGAAGCGATATGGTAGGAAGGAAAGCTCTGTTGGTATCATAGGAAAAGCAGATTTATGCTGTTGCTTTGTAAATATGTGCTTTGTAAGAACTAGCTGTTTCATAGCCAGATGGTTCATTTAATAGTGTCTTATTCTGGATACATTAAGTCACTCACCTGCAACTGCAAACAGAACACTTTGCTCTTGCAGAGCTGCACCACAACAATATACTGTGTACTGTGCAGCAGGTCATCTATTGCCAAAACAACCGCAGACACACACACATACACTCCTACCCTTACTTAAAAATCAACCTCTACTTTTTTCATGAAAGCACCTATACTTGAGTGATAGTTTTACTGCTTTGCAGGATTTAAGATTCACTTTAATAGGAAAGTGTCACTAATGAAGCATACGTAACTGGGTGTCAGCCGCTCTATTTTTAACACGTGTGCTCCAGCACAGCGCCTGCCGCCAGCCTCCTCCCGGCTCAAGGTGATGCCTTGACCTCTACAGCAGCAGCTCCGCAGCACGTGGGAGCGGCTCCAGGATCCTGATGTTCAGCTTCTGCACAGAATAGGGCTTTATTAAGCACAAAACCCAAAATTACAGTTAAAAGGACTACCTCTTTTTAACAAAAGACTGTTTTTTGCTACAGCGTGAGACAGATTGTGTAACATTTCTTACACAGTTGATTCTGCCACAGCCATCCACCCTTCCCCTACCTGAAATTACCTTTTATTTATTTTTTTTTTTTACACCTTCCATCAGTCTAGCTCACAGCACCTGGAGTTCCTATTGTTCCTGCCTAGGTGTTCAAGGCCAAGTTGGATGGAGCTTTAAGGAACCTGGTCTAGTGGAAGGTGTCCCTACCCATGCAGGGGGCTGGAACTAGATGAGCTTTAACGTCCCTTTCAATGCAAACTACTCCGTAATTCTATTATTTCTTATGCCTTCTAAACGCAGTGCTCCCAAGTTTGGGAAACGCCAGGTTAACTGGATTAAACTAAATCAAACAAGGAAATGCTTCCACTTGTCCTTTTTACCTTAGGCCAAGCCTTTCCATTAAGTCAAAGCCAGCATTTCCAAATAAATCAATGTTTTCTGGAACAGAAGGTCTAAAAGACCAATGGATTAGTCTGCTGAGCCACTACCTCTGCCAACTTGAACTAATACCACATTTCCAACATGCTATGGAAATGATGTGGGAACGTGCATTTTGGAAAGAATATTTAGTGAAGTAATTAAACCCGGCTCATACAGAGATTTCCGTGTAGATCTGGTAAGTGTATCTTTTCACAGAGGAAAGGACCCTTTATACATCTTTAGGAAATGGTAAGACCTCAAATCACATAGAAATTTCAAAATATTTGCTCTGACGATGACTCTTATGTAAACACAGCACAGAGTCTTGCTAAGGAATCATTCCCTATGTAGGTCAGGAAAAGGAAAGGCAACTTGTATGCAGTCTTGCAACGGAGAAAAGCAGATACAGAAATCAGTGTATTTTTAATTTCCCTGCCTGTTTCCCCTCAAGCAGCAATGGATTGTTCCAGATGTAGAGAAAACAGTATTTGCAGATATATACAAAAGTTTATTTTACAAACAGCAACTACCTTTGAGTAACAAAATTGCAAAACCACAGACCAACATTAGAAAAAACAGCTCAGGGGTACGTTTTCTATCTGAAGCAGAACTTAACAGACTTCATTAAGTAAAAATACACCCTCCCCCCTTCACTCAAACCCCTCCCCCAGTCATCTACCAGATATAATTTCTTTATAAAGCTTTAATTCAAGATATGAAATAGCCATTAATGGCATTACAGTAATTTTGGACAACTGCAATTAACTGATTGACTGTATTTTTATTACCTTTACCTGATCTTAAAAAGTCAACTCTGATCTGAAATACGATGAAGTCCAATGCTGGAGCAAATTCTTCTCTAGTAAGTAAATGACAGTCTTTATAGTTGTGCATTTTTACAGACCACTAACCCACTAGTTCTATTTTCTCAGTAAGGGAAAAAAACAAAACTGTGAAACTCTTTTGAGTTAGCACTATCTGTTGAGGACTTTGAAATGGTGGCTACTGTTAGAAACATGCCTGTAGATGTGTACTGACTTGAGTAATAAATGTCCTTAGTGTTAAAAAAAGCACAAGAAGCTTACAAAATATTGATTTGAAAGGATTACATGCACACAATTTTTCATTGAGCTTCAAGAGGAGGAAGGGTATAAGCCCAGAATTTTGAGTTCTTCTCAAAAGTGGAAAAAACAGTATGACAAATTCAGTTTTGGGAACTTACGACAAACGTCTTACTCAGCTGTTCATGAGCAGAAAGGGAGGGCACCATCACTATCTTCAAACTTCACTCTGAGCTTTCTTTTCATGTTTCTGAAGTGTATCAAAAGCTAATTTTGCATAGCTTAATTCAATCAAAGAGACTGCATGAATTAATGTCTAAGCAAGAAATTACCACTTTCAATTTTCAAAGCTGTTGGGTCCTGATGAGGTTGTTGGGTTTTTTGTAATTTCAGTATCTGAAAAATTTGAGAAAATGAAAGCATCTCAAGACATTACAGAAAGTTGGTAATGAAAACTATTATCATACAACAGTACCCTTTAGCTCTAATAAAGCTGTGTTAATCTGTTTTTTCACTACAGAGCTCACTTTTATTATTATGCCACTATAAAACTGTGTCTAAGTACACAACTTCCTAGACACTGAAAAACTTTACAAATTATTTAAAATCAACTCAAATCAGAATATCGTAAAAATTGCTCAGTGCTCTTCAGCTGAAATCTGTGTGTTTTTCTGCAAACCATTTACCTGTAACACAGAGTCATTTTTGGTATTAAACTTTACTTTGAAAGTACTGTCCATGCTTTTTACCAGGCATACCAGGCTTTTTGTAGTTATATCACTTTAACAATATGTAGATCAGTATTTGCAATATCAGTATCTGATGCTCCCTATGGCAAATGGAATACACCTACAGACATTCTTATAAAGGAACCATTATGGTTGGTTTTTTTTTTAAAAATTATCATTACATATCATTAAAAAAGTGTTTTGAACAAACTTGTGATATACTCAACAGTTTACAACATTCAACTTCAAAATATGCTGAAGTACACCAAGCACCGTAATGTGAACTGAAATTGAATTCAAAATTCTTAGACACTTGAGAGTATTGCTGTTTTATCACAAAATTAACTTTAAATGTAAAGTTTAGACAAAATGGATATCAAGAGCAAAATCCGTCATGCTTCTGCTCACTATTGTCAGTTTAACAATTCGTGTTGTGTAATCTCACCCTTTTCAGCAGACTTCTGAAATCACAGTACAGAAAGGATTAAGACAGAGTGGCAGCCTTTGTTTTCATCACCTAGCTCTTGTGCATATGCACTGTATATAATGCAATAATCAACAAGACATCACAGAAACCCATCTTCCAGCATTAGAAAAAGCATTTTAATAAACTAGAAATGGCAGCCTTTGTTAGAAGGTTTGGTTTTTTTCTTCACAGTTTTACAGTTGCTAGCATCTATTTAACAGGAACAGGCAGGAAGACCTAAGATGTTTATAAACATACTTGAAGACAGTAACAATAGCTGCACCCAGAAAAGTGGTAGCAGCAAATTCGCCTGTCATTCATGGCTTGGAAACCTAATTCAAGGAAATAGTACTTTTTTATTTTTTTTTAATTTCATGTTTTGTAAAAGCAGTTGATATTAAAAAAAATTAATAAAAAACCCAGTTAAGTTCTATGGAGTACTATGTATGGAGTATACATGACTGTATACTCCGTAAGTATACAGTATACTTACACTTCATAAGTACACAGTCTCTCAGGCGAGTTCACCGTTAAATAGGAAAGTTTCAACTAACTCAGTAAACACCCTTCAACTTTACTTGTGACACTGTCAAAACGGTTTTAACATAACACTGAAAAAAAAATTATTAAATGCAGTTTCCATCGTAAAAGAAACGGTTTCAGCTATATCTGCTGCTTTCACTGGGGCTCCGATTGTTAGAGTAACTGCGATCGCTTTCACTGTCAGAGCCGTAAGATCTACAAAGAAAAGATTAAAATGCCTCAAAATTGTATTTTGAGCTTCAAATTCAAAATTTCATCATGTAAAAAAAAAAATGTCAAGAAGCACAAAAGACAGCAAGAAAACATATAAGAAGTCTTTTACAGGATATTTCATATAACTGAAGTATTCGTTAAAGGACTCTCAAATTAAAATGATGATTAATTCAAAGGATGAAAACCCTGTGTAACTCCAGTCAAACAACTGTGGTTGTAACTACATAATTTCTTGTCTTCTCTGATAACTACAAAACTTCTTGTCTTCTCATCCCAAATAACTGGATTTGTAAATGCTAATAGCTGAGAAGTATATTCTAACAAACATAATTTTATAATTGCAAGCATTTTCTCAATTATTTCCCAAATCCTTGCTTTATATATGTTACAGTGCTTCATCTGAAGAAGGATCTTATGAATTAGGCCCCGTAACAACAACAGAGGAGGATGACTGTCTGCAGAGTGGAAATTGTAGATTAAAATATTTTGGCTTATACGGACAAATTCCAAGCACCTGGCTAAACATCAAGATAGAGTCCAGATGGTTTCAGACAAGCCACAGGACATATTCTAATTACACAGAATAAACTTTCATTAGAGGTTTTCTAGCCTCATGCCTGTAGAGAAGGCTTTCTAAACAAAAGGTGAACACATCCTAATCCAGCATTGTTCCTCTGAAGCTTCCCAACATCCTAAACCAATGATTTTGCAAGTCTTTTTTCCACAAGCCAATCTCATTTCCCCTCAAACACATGATGAGAATTGTCCTACTGTTAGAGCTAGATGTGGAAATGGGCGAGAACAAAGTCCATTAAAAGCTGGTACAAAGTTCTGGAAAAATAAGCATGAGGACAGCAGGGGATAAAAATTTACAGTAGTCTTAGGGGTCTTCCTGATTCACCACTAATGTGGGACATTAAAAAGGTACAAAAGCAAATCATCACTGATAGAATTTACCATCCAATGACATTCTCTGCAGACTGGGTATTTTTTAATCCACAATAGGACACTTGATTTAAATCTTATGTTCACTGTAGTTTTTAAGAAACATTTAAAATTAATAAAAAATTACATGTATGTATTTTGAATGCATATATACAATGAACTGGAGCCTTCTCAAATCTTTCTTCCCCTAGTTTCTTCCCCATCCTCAAATTTAGTATGTTAGAAATTCTGATTTCCTCAATCACATGCTTGCTCTAATTTGAACTGGCTTTAATTACTACTTTTGCTAACAATGCATTTTTTACGCTTGGGGGAAAAAGAACCACATCAGCCTTCATGAACATCCTAAGTATATATTTAGCAAATTCTTTTACATAAATTCAGTGTCAAGTCATGCTAGCAAAAACCTACCTGGATCGCCTATCATAACTTCTGGATCTTCGATAGCTGTCACTCCTTTTACTTCGACTTCGACTTCTGCTGTAGTAACTATCATATGTGTATGACCTACTTTATAAGGAAAATAAAGTTAAGTGTAAATTTACAATTCCTTATCTAAAATGTATAATATATGTATCAAAGACATTCATATACAGAGATGAGCAGCTATACAGAAATTACTTTTGAAGGGTGTGTCAAACAATAATTCTATATTTTATAAAAGTTTAAATACAAGTACCTTAAAAACAACAGTAAAAATCTCAAATTTATTAACCCAGAAAAGAGACAGTAACCATTTAAACAGTTTCACATTTCACATTTTCTCTACAAATTGCAGATGCAGTAAACATCATTTATACCTCAGTTGGTTTTTTTTAACCAATAAAGGGAAATGGGTTCACTATTACTTATCTCGTATCATCTATAACAGCAATGCCAAGATGATTTTGTTATTTTCTGCTTTTAAATGTATCTGATGTCGATTTTGCTTTGATTCAAGGTGCTATCACGATATTATAAAATGTAAATACCATAGATAAAGAGGTACTCTTAGATTTTATTTTTTTATAATACGCACATTTACTACAGAGTTTGTATAAAACTATAATACAGCTTTTATAAAGCTATAATCCATACCTGGATCGACTATGATGATCGTAAGAACTACTTCTGGATCTACTTCTACTATAGGTTCGACTGACAAAAACAAAAACAGAGATGTTTTAAGTTAATCAGAAACAAGTGCTGAAGAGAGAGGGAAGAGGGTGAAGCAAGAGGCAAGTAACATATTTTGATCAAAATTCCTTATCTGTACTACAAAACATTAGATAAAATTATTTTTCAGTAACAGGAAATTCTGAAATCCAACTATTCTAACCTGCACATTTCAAGTAGCTACTTCAGACTGTAGTACGCATAGCCAAGCGTATAGCCAAGCTCAGAGACTGAGGCATCAGACTGGTTTGTAATACATCCTAATACTGTCACCAGTTAGAGAAACTTACCTACGGCTCTTGTAACTGTGGTAAGAACTACTTCGACTTCTTGACCGATCTCTACTATACCATCCTCTGCTTCGGCTTCTTGTGTAGCTTCTTGATCTACAATGAATGAACAACTTTGAAAAGCACAAAATAGGATGTAAATGAAGAGAAGACCATTATAAAGCTTCATCTTTTAAGCTAGGTATTTATTCCATACTTGATAAGTGACATAGCTGAAAAAGAAAATAAGACTTCAAAATATCAGAGCTTTCACTTTCAGCTGTGGGAGTAGCACAAACTTCTTACCGATATGAAGATGTAGAACTTCGTGAGTGACTTCTTGAGTGACTGTAAGATATGGACCTTGTTCTGCGTCTGGATTTAGATTCAGATTTACTTCGTGACCTACTGAGACTCCTGGATGGGCTATTATCATCTCTACTTGGAGATTCTTCCTCACTGGAACTTTCTTGGTTCCTTGGCCTTCGATTTAGCCGTGCTGTTTTTCTAACTTCATCAAACAGAGATCCGGGCCTTACTTTATTTTTAGCTTTTATTTCAATTCTTAAACCTGCTGGTTTAGGCTCTGGTGCTGAAGCTATGTTCTTAACTTCTGCAGCAGTACTAATTGTGGTTGGTTGTAAGTTAGCAACACCTTGCAAAGGCTTCCATTTATTATCTATCGTATTGCTTTGTGTATTTTCAGTAGTTTCACTTTTTAAACTACAGTCTTTAGCACTAGACACAGGAGCAGAATTATTTTCTTGTATTCCCATTTCTTTTTCTTCTTTAATATTCATGAAGTCTATAACATTGTTTCCTAGTTTGACAGCATCTTGTTCATGGGTCTTAACCTGTAAATCTTTGTTTATACTAGCAGCTAAAGCCTGAGGTTTAGCAGTGAGAATGACAGGAGACAAAACATCTACATCAACCTTCCCTGGTGAGTTACGATCTGGAGTACAAATCTCCATGTTGTCATCTGTCTCAATAACATCTTGCAATCCATTCTGGTTACTTTCTTCAGCTTGTTTCATCTCATCTTTGCAACTGGTCACATTTATTTCTGCATTTAAGATACTGTCTGAAGCATTCATTTCAATGCTATCTTTATTAAGGTTATTACAATCTGGAGAGGCACCACGTGTAGGGTTTTTAGTTAAAAGGTTTTCATCCACAGAAGGCTTTTCAGTTAAATTTTTCATTTTATCTTTGACTATTTCATCCTTGTCATAAACTTGGTTTTTATCTTTTAAGTTCCTGTTAAGCTGCTTTTCTTTATCATCCTTGGTAACTGGCTTTTCATTTATCTCATCATCATCTTCTTCACCGTACTCCAGGGGGGGCTGCCAATGAAACATTTCTTTTCTTTTCTGAACTTTGTGTTTCTTCTCCTTTTTCCCTTTTGATTTGTCTTTTGCTTTTTTTGAATGGGATTTTTTAAGAGCTTTTTTCGATCCACGTTTGTGTTTTTTTGACTTTCCTCTAATGTTTGTTGAGCTAGAACAAGAGCTGTCAGACTCAGAAGATGACAACTGCTTGCTTGTCTTCCATGTACAATCAGAATCCAGAAAGCCTTCTGAAGAATTTGATTGTTTTTTTATTCTTTTGGTAACACTAAGCTCTGCATCAGATCCTGATGTGGCCTCTCCTTCTTCTTTACTAGAGGAGAGTCTGGAATCTCCCCTATTACGCCTTGCCTCTCCTTTTTCAGAATTTGATTCAGAGTCCCATTTACTACCTGAATAGGATTTTTGTTTAGTTTTTCCACCACCCCTAGGTTGCTCAGAAGATTTCTCCTTAGCTGCTTTCTTTTTAGCATCATCAGAATCCTGCTCACACTTGGGTTCCTTCTCCCCTTGCTCAGAACTTAAGCTATTTTTGTCCTGTTTCTGAGTACCTCTTTCTAACTGAAAACGGCCTTCTTTTTCTTGGACTACTTTCATTTTGGCAGAATGCTCACTGTCAGTAGAGAAGTCTGAAGATGATGAGCTATCACTCCCTTTCAAGCCCTGAGAAGACTCATCATAGTCTTTTGTACGCTTATAAGGGACAGTGCTTTCAGAGCTTGTTTCTTGCCTCAGTTTAAGAGGTCGAGCCTTCTGATCACTTGATGCAGATTTTCTTTTGCTTCTGTCATCGTCAGTAAGGGAAGAGTAAGACGTTGACTCACTATAACGTGACCTGTCACTGCAGTATTTACTCAGTGATGGTGACCGGCCAGAAGAATGAGATTTTGTCCTAGAGCTTGATGGACTTCTAGATCTTGTATAAGATCTTGAGTATGACCTACTTCGAGAAGACCTGCTTCTTGATCTCAGACAACTGTCTGAGCTTCTGTCACTATGGTATTTGGAATAACCACTTCGATCGCTATCTGAACTCCTTTGTCGCTTATGATATGAGGAAGTAGTATTAGGCTCTTTAACAGCTACTAAATTGTAATTAGTTTGTGTGGGCATTAAATGTGTCGTTTTAGCTTTCATTTCCTGAATTCGCTCATAGGATGGCTTCCATGGTTTCTGCCCAGGTTTCCACCTTGAAGGTGGTGGACTCTCACTTAAGGGTATAACAGGGAGGTTTTCTGAGACAACTGGTGGTACGACAACTTTATCACTTGGGAGTATAGCTGCTCTTACAGGCTCAGCAGTCTTGGTAAGCTTATTCTCATTTAATCGCGTTGAAATATTTCGTGGAGAACTGGAAACTGTCTTTTGATGCCTAGGGTTAGAACTTGACCTTGACCTACTTCGTGAACATGATGATTTAGAGGCTGATCTTGATCTAGAGCTTCTTCGGGAGTAAGATCTTGATTTAGACCTAGATCTGGACCTGTAGTATGATCGAGTCCCTCTGCTTGATAAAGTTGATGAGCTCTGGTCTTCCTTGTCAGATTTAGACCAGTCCCTTCTGGAGGAATGTCTGGAAGATGATGAAGAAGAACGAGATTTCCTGTCATGATCACAAGATGATTTTGTCCTCCTGAGGAAGGAATGAGAAGACTCTACATCTGATGAAGCGGACGTTTTCTTCTTTTTTGTTTGCTTGTGCTTCTTGAAATGCTTCTGCTTTTTAGATTTCTTTTTATGTTTCATCTTTTTTTTATCTTTTCTGTGCTTTTTGTGGTGGCTAGAGTATCTCACAGTACTTAAATCAGAATAACCATTACGTGACCAAGATCTTGATCTCTGGGACACACTTCTTTCATCCCATCTGCTTGTACATGGGTCGCTCAACCTAGAAAACAAACCCCACACTGAGTGGAAATTCTTTAAAAACTTCAGATAAATTAAGTATTTTCCACACCTCCAAGGCAAGTAATTAAGTTTAAGAGAAATTAACACACACCCCCCTTTACTACCAGACAATTATGTTTTAACTGAGCTTGTTACACTCTTTTTAAGATACGAATTACATCACTATCAAGAAAGCTACTTCTCTCTAACAACTAAATCAGCCAACATCAGAAAATTTTGCATACTGTAGTGCCTATGTAAAGAGAGTCAATGCTTTAACTACCCTAGACTACATGTCTTTGACATCTACAACAAAAGGATTCTTAAACATTTAAATACAAATTTTAAAACATCTTATTTAGTATTCTTTTAGGTGGTATGTTGCAATACAGCAATAAACTGAACACACAATATATAAAATTATTCAGCAATAATTTACAATAGATAAAAAAGAAAAACTGAAAATATTACATATAATTTGTTATAAGCTCCTATTTATTATCAAGTCATCGGAAATTCTGAAGAGCTGGCTTCCATCTCCGAGTTTGCAATTGCAGAAAAAACATAACTAAAACAACGTAAGATTGATGGATTTTGTTGTCTTACTTGGTATTCAAAAAAACCACATAACCAAGTTTGAGGTTAAAGGAAATCTGACATGACTAGCTATAGGGAAAGCAACAGGAAACTGGACAGGTCAATTAATTACTTCTTAAATAAGTATCCAAGATGACACCATGACAAACAACTCTTCTGACACTTTTCAGCTTGTGTTCAAGTGGTGTCACATTAGCAAAGCAGAAAGGTTTTAAGAAAGTTTTCCACTTTTATTTTTTGGAACTTAAATGGAACATGTTAACCACAAAGTCGTTCACATTTTCTTCTTTTCAGATATGAATAACACAGTACATGCACACAATTTATTAAAGCTTGTGTAAAAAAAACAAGACATTTTAAAATTGCAGGAAGGATCTTACTTATCGCCTTTACTCCACTTTTCTCCACTAGGTGGTCTGTATGTTCGTAATCTCTGCATTTCCTCCTTCCAGTGAGGAGGGGTCTCACTGCTCTCATCATCATCAGATTCAGAACACGATCGTGATTGAGGTGGGGTGTGATATCGCTATGAAAGCAAGGAAAGATAGTTATATATTTTTCTTTACAAAAGACTGGAAAATACAGCAAATAGAAGTATATCATAAAATCTTACAATGGTTTAGGCTGGAAGGGACCTTAAAGCTCATCTCATTCCAACCCCCCTGCCATAGGCAGGGACACCTTCCACTAAACCAGGTTGCTCCAAGCCCTGTTCAGCCTGGCCTTGAACACCATCAGGCAGGGGGCAGCCACAGGTTCTCTGGGCAACCTGTGTCAGGGCCTCCACCACCCTCACAGGAAAGTTCTTCCTCAGATCTCATCTTAATCTCCCCTCTGTCAGTTTAAAGCCATTCCACTTTGTCCTATGCCTAGATGCCCTTGTAAAAATTGAAGAAAAAAGCAAAAGCGCATCCATACAAGGTCTATGAGGTAAACACAAATTCCAGGTTTCCTGCCAAAAAATACCCACGCTCGGTATGCATATATCCCACACAGCTGGCTGTATCTTTTCATTCTCCAAAAGCATTTCACAAATAGGGCCCAGGAGCTAACCCATTTTTACCAGACATAAAAGGAAGAATCAAGAAGAAGTCATAGATTCTCTTTACGTAACACCTTTTGGAATAACACAATTACTGCAGAAAACCAGCTTCTTCTGGGGGATACTAAAGCACAGATGTTTCACTTCAGTTAGAAGACTCTCAACTGCCTGTACGAGAAAAGACAAGCCCTATTTCAAAAGTTAACACTGTTCACTCCTTCAGAAATGGGAATCCAGTGTAAGACACCTTCCAAAACCACACCCCCCAAAAAAAAAAAAAGACATCTTCCACAGAAGTGTAATGAAGTATCATGCTTAAAACATTACACTTAAGCAGGCAATAAGAACTACTTGTGCAGCAGCGAAAGAACTCAAATGTTGCTAACTCATTATTTTCCATTACCCAGTTGGATACACTTAGGTAAATTCTGTGAGGAAATTAGATGCTCCTTGACTCAATAAAGAAAAACATCTGGAATTCAGTTGATTATTTTAAGCCACTTAGAAATGAAAGCAATATGTAGGGAAAAAATATTGCCCCCCCTGAATAAATACAGAAAGATGTATGTATTGGTTTATTCAGCTGATTACAGGCAGAAGTTCTTAAGATATCCTGTTTATATAAAAGGTAACCTGCCATGAAGATTTGGAGGTTCTCTACTCTTTGAGGTGAAGCAATGACTACTTAAAAAAAACCTCTTACAAATAAAGGGCATACAATAGGTTGCAAAAGTGTCATGGACCTTCCTAATTCTCTCATATTACATTCAGGAGTCTCGCAGAACCCCAGAAAATTCAAAACTAAAAGCGAGTATTTTGAAAAACATCAGACAAGTTCACCCTGGCTACAAACTTTTGCTAATCAGTCTATTAGAGACAGGAGAAAAAATGTGTTTCTCCAACTAAATGCTAGCCCTGAATTATTTCTGTTATGACTGGTTTTCATTCTTGATTTTGCCAAGAAGGTACCAAAAATATGAAAAACAGGACAGAGACACCCAAATCCCTGACAAAAGCCAATTCCACTCAACTTTAAACTAGTTTTCTGAAAGTCTTTTTTGACATAAGTATTTTAAAACACTCCATTTAAAAAGCTTCCTTTCGTGGATATCACAAATAACAAATACAAATGAAAGATTTAATGTCATAGCTGGCAAATGAGGGCTGGTTCTCAGGTGAGGCTCAAACACTACAATACCTTGTAGTGGCTATAGCCAAGCCATTAATTTTGTGGCTTAAAATAATTGCACCATAGGAATCAAGAGAAAAGTACTTCTCAAATTCACTGGCTACCACATAAGAAAACAATGCTCAGAGAAGCCTCAGTTAAGACTATTGTAATGAAAAATGTCGTCAACTATGCAGATACTGGTTTTGGGGTTTCTATTTTTTTTTTTTTTTTAGAACTTCCACCTACAAAAAAAATTGTCAGGACCAAACCTTGGTTTGGTTTATGGTTACCCACATGCTGCTTGCAAAATTGATCGAGGAAAACATTCAAAATGGGAAGAATATGCTCAGTCATGGTATGCTACAATTTGAAATACACCAAAATCGAATGCACAATTACAAAAGCTTTTCTTACTTTCTCCCTCTTTTACTGACTGAAAAACACGAGCACAGCTGCACAGTGCTTTGAGTCCCGTATTGAGGTTTATTAGAGAAAAGTTTTGCTTGAGTAGAGCTGAACTAAGGCAAAAGCAAAAGTCTTCATGACACCAAAGATTTGAAGTGGAAGTGATATTTGCATAACAGGGGCAGTCTTCAGAAAGGAAGGTAGGGAAAAAGGACAAAGTCTGCAGGTCTGTAAAAAGGCTTTGCTATCAGCATTGCAATGAAGTAACTTCTTGCCCATGCAGAGCCATCTATGAAATAACACAGACATGATCTCAGTCCGGACAGCTGATGAAATTTGACAAGCTACCATAGAATCCTACAATGTTTTGGGACCTCAAAGCTCATCCAGTTCCAATCCCCTCCCACTGGCAGGGACACCTTCCACTAGACCAGGTTGCTCCAAGCCGCATCCAACCTGGCCTTGAACACTGCCAGGGATGGGGCAGCCACAGCTTCTCTGGGGGTCTCACAGGGAAGAGCTTCTTCCTCAGATCTCATCTCAGTCTCCCCTCTGGCAGTTTAAAGCCATTCCCCCTTGTCCTATCACTACATGCCCTTGTCAAAAGGCCCTCCCCAGCTTTCTTGTTGGCCCTATTTTAGGTACTGTGAAGCTGTTCTAAGGTCTCCCTGGAGCTTTCTCTTTAGAATGAACAAGTCCAGCTCTCTCAGCCTGTCTTCATAGCAAAAGTGCTCCAGCCCAATACATGAAACTATATTAAGTGGATAAAAAAAAAAGCAAGAAGGAAATAAAAGGTTGACAAAATGTCAAAAAGCAGAACAAACAATTTAAGCTATTCTGCCAAAGCTGCCAACAAAACTGCTGTTTCTCAGCAATGCTAAGTACAGGCATCAGAAGATGAAAATATCAAAACTCAGGAGGACAAGCAATATACATCACAAAGGACTGCATATACTGAGGACACTATAGACCTGCTTTGTCTACTGTTACATGTTACAGTCCTAATGCTGAACAGAAACAGCAAAGAAATCCAGTGAGTGGAGTAAAAGCTCTTGTCACTTCTCATTACTTTAGATCTTGTGGATCATGTGGGATCACTGCCTGAATTACTTTCAATCTTCAACAAAAAATAATAAAAAAATTATGTCTGAAGACTTCTCATAGCTGAGGAGTAAGCATTTGTTTTCCCAATCTTCTTATAAAAAGACAGTAACAAGAAGGATGGAATAAAAGTGTTATAAAATGAAATATCAGACAATATTTCAACCTAAACTGGAATCTACAACATGCCAACAACGGTTAAAGTGCCACACAAAAGCCTCAAAGGAAATTCAAAGCTGAAGGTCAAAGAAGATATTCTAGATGGAAGGAGGAAAAAAAAAAAAATGGGAAAAAAATCAAGAAAAAATTGCCACATACTATTGTGCCTCTTCCTTTAATTTTTCGTCCAGATTTAGAGACTGATGGTTTCGGGTCAGCCAGAACTGGTGTAGTATCAAGAAGCTTCCTACATAAATAAATAAAATATGAGCTTACATGGAAAAAAACAACAAAAAAATTAACTTGAATTAATTTTAAGTTAATAACACAAAATATTAATCTTATTTTTCTTAAGATGGCAGACCTAAGAATTCAGTGAATTCTCCAGGAAATAAAGCAAGACATGAACAGTTCTACAATGAAAGTGAAATCAAGATCCTTGTTTTAGATCAAATCTGTAGCCAATCTGACCTCTCCACCTGTAAATAAATGTTAACAGTGAACTTGCAAAGCACTATTGAAGTGGTAAGTGGCTTTTCTAAAGAGGTTAACTGCATTTGGTGCACAAATCATGAAGACAACATGGACAGAAGTTTCAGGATCTCCGCAGTTACACAACCATGTCTTAACTCAGAGACTGACAATTCATGATAGGTCACAGGTTCCAAAGCCTTGCTTCTTTCCTGAGCAATAGGAGGTAACTCAGCACTCCTTTTTACTGTTTGTGTAATGTCCTTCAGAGAAGCAGTTACTAAGGCTTTGAAAACATAAATAATGTTTCAAGGCAAAACGTACAGGAGACTACACCATTAACTGGAATCAATAAAAAAAAAAAACAAATCACCAAGCTTATTTTAAAAACTTCTGGCAATGTATGTAACATATTGCTGATTTGAAGAGGTATCTCACAACGTAACTTAATAGCTCATCTGAGTCCAAACACAAAGAAATTTGACAGAAAAAGAACCAAACTGCAATTTAGTAGAGGTGCAAAACAAAGAAAACTGCAAAAAGGACAATTAAATTACCTCATTTAGAAACTTTAGCCATTGTTTGCTACCAGCACTAGTTACTTGAATGGTAACAGGAAAATTTTTTGCCTAGTTTCCACCAAGAAAACATCATAAAAAAGCTCAATGTTCCTTACGGTTCAGGTTCTATATTGACAACGGGCACATCTCTTCTCAGCAAAAATCTGTTTTCAGGCACTGGGGGAATTTCTTCAGGACGTACCACTGGTTTGTCTCTCTTCATGCTAACATCAATTGCTTTTTCTGTTATATCACTCTTGTCAGAAAGGCTGCTAAGGGAATAAACAAGTTGATAAATCAAAATTAACTGTCAACTGATAAACACCCCTTTTCAAAGCAAATTCCAAAAAAAAAGCCATGTGGTGCATCAAGCTTTAAGATGGCTTAACAACCAAAACATGCTTCATTCACAACCCATTTTAAGCTAAAAAGGAAGGATACACAATTACTGGAAGGAAGGTTCAGGTTTTGCTTTACAGAAAAATAATTCTGCTTTGAATTTGCCATTTGTCAAGAAATATTTTAAAATCTAATCAAATATATATCAACTCTATTCCCTAATCTTTCACTTTAACACAGGTATACTGAGTCCCAAATACTTGAACATGCTGAGATTTACTCATTTCAAAATCACTCTAGCTTCCATCTACAAAGACCTTAAACTCTTTCACGGAAAAATCTACTCAACAAGCTTGGCTTTAGGTTTTTTTTGGTTGGTGTTTTTTAATAAAGACCAAGCACCAAACCCCAAACCTAAATAAAACATAAATAATTTTCATATTAATTACTTCAGTATTTCATGAAAACAAAAGTAGAATTTCTCAGATTTCTCTGAAATTCTTAAATTTAAGAGACTAGTCACCCACCGTCTTTGGTTTGAGGTTCGCCTGCACTTTGGATCCTCTTTCTTCCTCTCTTCCTTTCTTCGTTTTCTTGATTGTTTGGTTTTAGCTCTTCTTTTACGCTTTCTTCTTCTGCTTCTTTCACTTTCAGCTTCACTTTCAGATGAACTTTCTGAAGAGCTTGATGCACTGGAGGAGGAGGATGAAGCTTCTGACTCCGAACATACTTTCTTCTTCTTCTCCAAAGCTTAAAACAGATATTTTAAATTTACAGTGTGCACATGTCCATGTGTGTGTAGCGTGTATATATAGAGCACAAAATATATCATTTTATATATGTATAAATACATAGACATACTGTTTCAGAAGAGCTCTTTGAACTTTTTTTCACAATGAGTTAAAGTACAATAATAAAAACTGATTTTGGCCTAGTCTAAAGCCATACCACTAAAAGATACAAATATTTTCCAGCAAAGATAGCTCCTATGCAGTAAGCTGTAAGAACTTCCATGCATGAATTCCACCATATAAGGTGACATATCACTGCAAAGCCAAAACATTTTTACATTAATACACAGTAACTTTATAAATGAAGTTTGACATTATGATGTGCCAAGCTAATACAAAGAAAATAGTTTTAAGAAGGAGGGTTCCCCCCTTTTCTCTTTTGAAAAAGGTATTTTAAGTTGTAATACTGACTTCAGACCTTTAAGTTAGAATACACAGATAAGAAAAGACCATCTGTAGCAAAAAAAATTAATTTCTAGGAAACAATGCATAGGTTACAGAACGAAGTTTAAGAAAGAATTAGTCATAGCCTCAGCTGTATATTTCTTATTTATAAATCTTTGTCATTCTCTCTGCATGTGATACTTTCTTACTCTATCCTCCTGACTTTTTTTAAAGGACATAAATAACCACATTATCCTTAAGGAAGGCCAAAAATGAAGGGGAAAACACAAACTTTTAACACTCCGCTACATTACAGAGACTGTCCAAACACGTATTTAAAATTATTTATTCCCTAAGAATTCTCATGAAATTATGTTGACTACGTATACTGCATATTAACATTACATGATCTTACAATTCAAATTCTGGAAACTGCACAAAATTCAACTCCAAGAAGATAGTATGTTGAAACTCTATCTTTCAAACTCAGAAAATCAGATTGTAATTATTTTCTGTGTAAGTCACATTAACCTCAAATATTAAGAACAGGAAGCAGGGATACACTGTCCAACACACAAAGGTTTAGGTCAAAAAAAGCCTCCTCCCTTGCTATGTCTTCCTCTTCTACACCAGTTTTTTTTTAAGTTTTAAATGCTTGTAAGACTTAAAATTTTCATGTTCTCCGAACTCTAATGTTTGGACTCTATGATCTTAAAGGTCTTTTCCAAGCTAAACAAATCTGTAATTCTATGAAAACAATATCAACATTCAATTAACTTCAGATGTATGTATGCTTACCATCTTTTGCTGATTTTGTAACAAGCACCCCACAGTCAATAACTCGTACATCTGCATAGGGCCTACTTGCAGTATCGGTTTTCAGATTTTCTATTTGTTCTATTACCTCAAACCCAGAAATAACCAGTCCAAAGACAACATGTACACTGCAGAAATAAAATGTTTGGAAAGTACATTTATATATTGCTGTAATTATTTTATAATGAATTTCAGATTTAAGAAGCCACTCTGAACTAGAAACACTAAGCTCTTTAAAATGCATTAGAGTAATAAACATCTTGTTTTCAAGTTTCACATTTACAACAATGCTAAGATTTTACTGGAACATGAAAAAAGGGTCCACTATGGTTCAATGAGAGAAAAGTTTGATGTCATTCCACTCTCTTTTACATAGGCAGAGTAAATAGATCATTATTTCTAACATATCCTTCTACTTTCGCAGTTTCATGCAACAGGGAGATCATAAATCCATATATAAAGATGACAAAGAACTGCAGTTTTCCCCAGAAAAGAAACATATATAGGTCTATACAAACTCAGCACACAAATTCCCCACTAGCACTGCAGGGACAGCTATAACTAAGGAACTCCCATTTCTGTCCAACATCTCCCACATTTCTCTCCGCTTCTTCTGTTAGCCCATAACTTATACTCCAAGGAACTAACCTGTTCTGGGGATAAAACCACACCACACAAGAGAGTACTATCCAAATACATTAAACTTGACATTTCAACTCACTGATTTATGGATTGAGGGCAGCAACCAGTTTTAAAAAAAATTATTATTAGGGTTTAAGCCCCTCTAAGTTTTTGACCAGCTGTAGGAATTAAGTTGCAACTTGAAATTTTTATAGAACTGAAGTCTTTTTTTTCCCTTTTTCTTCTATTGTATAGTCTTCCAGATGATTAAGAATTTGTTTCCCCGTTGTTGTCTACTTTAACATGTGAAGACTTACAACCTTCAAATTTTAGACATCACTGGAGGAACTATAAAGGATTCTTACCCATCGAGATGAGGAGCAGGTTTTGTTGTTCTGTTTGACAAACAGCAAGATGGTAAGATGGAAGAAAAATAAAAAAAAAAAAAAAAAAATAATCAGGGATTCAGATGAAGTAAAAGAGGAGAATGGAACAGGGGAAAAAAAAAAAAAAAGAAGTGAAGGTAAGACAAAAAAATAGTGAAAAAATCCAGTTACACACACAGAATTAAAATATTTTATAGATTATACATACAGGCTTTCTTAAACTTTTACATGAAATTTATCTGAAGCTTAGCTAACTATGCACACTTGAAAGATGTACCAAGCATCATCTTAATGCATGCAATAAACAATTTTGAAATAAACGATTTTGAAATAATAGTCTTTAAATACACATTAAAATATAATTCACTAACATTTTTAGTCACAGAGAAGATGCAATTTGGCATTAAATACTGGGTAACTAATGACTGTTAGGTTCTTACATTACAAGGTCACTATAAAGTCAGTTTATTTAAAAAGAGTTATCACATGTAACAGATACTTTGCTCCCCCCTCCCACTTCTTTCTTACTTTCTACTTCCCTGATTGGCATCATGACCCAGAATGCAAAGCAACACTTTAACCACCAGCTACAGCACTTCATCAGCTCACAGGCTTCCCAAAGGCAACAGCAGCATAATGCAAGCAGACATTATGTGCTGCCCTACAGTTTACTACTGTGGTTAACTGCAGATTTCCTCCCTATTTTTCAGCTTCCCACCTTCAGCCATTTGTAGCCTGAAGGAACCACCTTCCATTTTGTACACTATCCTAAAAACAAGCCTTTGGAGTTATGCGAGATTTCTGAGTTGACTTCAAATTGGAATATTCAAGGCTGTGCATATATGTTAAGATTCACCTTTTCATGGTAATGCTATGACCTAGTATTTCTCTAGATCCTTTTCCAAAAAGGAAAGGAAATCACTTTTGCAAGTAAGCCTGCATTAAGGCTGCACAGAGAACCTTGCTATGCAGACAAAATCTGTAAAGAACATCAGAGCATTAAAAAAAAAAAAAAAGGAGGGAAGCTAATTTGCATCCAAAGCTATTTTAGTATTTGAACACATCCGTCCTCTCTCTTCCCCAGGCACTATTTTGCCTTTCCAGCCTTCTTCCACTGAACTCACCTCTGAAAATATATAACCCATCACAGATACTTTTTCTAAATTTACAGTAGCACAGATGTGGTACAATGAAGTCAGTTTTTCGCTGCTAAAATAAAATACTACTTTTAAAGCATGTATCTTCACTCAGGTTTTGAACTATCCAGTCACAAAACACCGCAGTGCTGAACACATGCCAAAAGATGGAACTGTGAATCAGGAGTGTTTACACTCTTGATTTTTATATATATATATATATATATATTTTTTTTTTTAAGGTCCAAATGCCAACCAGACCTTCCACTTCTGTAATACTGAATAATATAGAAAACTTTGGTTTTACATGGGGAAATAAACACTATCAAGACAATGTTTAATTTTGCAATAGTTGGGGGGTGTTCTTTGGTTTTCCCTTGCTAGTATTGCTACAGATAAAAAAATGTTAACAGCTTTTGAGGGTCTTTAAGCAAGAGTTAACTGCATTAACAACCTCCTGCTAAGTAAACAGTTTAAGCGGGCTTAATTATAAGGCTGATTTAAAGTAGCGAAACAATAGAAGTGGGTTATTTCAGTGAAACCAATAATAAACAAGACTGAGTGCTTAGAATTAGCTAGAAACAGCAGCAGGTTCAAACACACTTGATGCGGAGGCTGTAGTACTGTGCTCCTGCTATGCCAAAGCAGCACTTGAAGACCTTGAGCAAATTACCTGATCATTTACTTTGCTTAGACTAGTCCTTGATAGCAAAGAAAGGGACAGCTGGCACATTAAAACTCATGTAGGGGTTTCTTCCATTGCACTGATAATTTGATATATTTATTGAATTTCTCTCATTTACTTGTATATGCAGTGAGAACACAAGGAAGAGAATTATCCCAAAAGAAAACTTCAGATGCATGATGAGGAGTTAGGTGACTTTAACAGACTTCCTACAGGAAGAAGAAACCCAGCGCCTCACTCTGCTTTTGAAAGTTTTCTCATTTAAATGTGAAGGTTTTAACATGACATTTATTTTGCAAACATGCACTTTAAATGACCGCTTCACAGTTGTCCACATATGTTCTGCCTTTCGACTCTTGAATGTTTACTTTGGCTTCAAAACAATCAGGAAAAAACCTGCTTACTGCCTTTGCACTAGGGAAACCTAGAATCGCGATGAGTTCCTCCCCCAAAATAATATTTCAATGAAACATTTCTATACAGAACTTTTGTAAGTTAAAACACTCAAAATCTGCCTTATAGTGTTATCCATGTTATTTACAGAATACCTTTCTTCACTCAAGTTTAAAGAAAATTAGCTTAAGATACTGATGAAGAGAAAAGCATCTTTTTGATAACAGCAAGTTATCACCCACCCCCCAAGTACCTCATTCCTAACAAAGGATTCAATGCACATAACAATATGATCAGAAGAAAACAAGAAAGATAAAAACAGAAAGAAGAAAAGGAAAGGACACAGCCTTAGAGGAATGAAACATTACCTTTGGAGCGCACGATGTAACACTGTTTCTGTAAATTTTACACAAAAATGGCAGAAATAAATTGTAATACAATTTCAGACAAAACTGAGTCTATGTTTTATTAAATACAAGTTTACAATTAATATTAATCAAGTTGTATGCAGCACAAGGATGCCTAAAAGAGGGCTCTAAATTTTCTTTAGAATACAAAGTACTTTTAAAACTACAGTAAGTTCTCCTTAAAACCAAAAAGAAACCTGTAGATATAACCTGCTTGCATACACTATTAAAAAATATAAACAGTTAGAAAGGAGAATCCTCCCACTCCCCTCTAAGTCTCAATCCAACAAAAGGGTTAGAACACATGCACAACCTTAAGCATATGAATAACTGATTTCAATGGGTTTATTCATGTGCTTGCAGTTACATAGGTGTTCAAATGCTCTCCTGAATGCAGTCCTAAATATATGCTTCAAAGGATGGCACACCACAGCATAAACGTTTTGATTTACAAGTGAAATGTGTAAAGTCAGCAAGTTTACAACTTCATACATTTCATAATTAGCTGACAACTTCCTTGCATCATGAAGCATTTCTAGAGCTAAGAAAAATAAGTGGTTTCTCTAAAATAGGTTCATCGCTTGTGCTCAGAATTACAGAAGGACAAACACATGGCAGACAGCAGCAGACAAAAATACCATGGAATCATAGAATATGCACCAGCTACTACCATACATTTGCTCTGGTATAATTCTGAACAGCAGCAATATTTTAAAAATGCATTATCAGTTGAGCTTATCCATATTGCTCCCCCTGTAAACTATTACTTCTTAATTATATCTCTGCATATTCAAGCATGGAGATTATGTTTTTTTACTTATTAAAAATAAAAGCATCCTGTGAATAATTTCATGTGGGCTGTGCTTTCACATAAACTTTTGATCAAGCCAGTGGAACTTGTTTGTGTGATCAGTGCACATGTACCACTTCTTGCTCAAAGAAACTGCAATGTCAGCACTTTCCATTCGAAATGTTTAGGTTTTTGTATCACTGTCAAATGCTCAAGAACTAGCTCAAAAGCTATTTAATTCTCAGTAAAAAAAACCCCAAACTGTTGATTAGAAAAATACCTGTTTTGAGACACCAAAGACTGAGCAATGAACCACTTTTAATAAGCTGGTAACATTGAGAAACCATTTGTAAAATCAAAACAGGAAAATCCTGAAAATTTATTTTATCCTTCATTTAGCAGATCAAAGTGGTTAGTTTGTTGAAATTTAGTAACTAGGCATGGCACCACACATTAAAAACATTTTTAAAGCAAAAAAGTCATTTAGTTTTGAGCAAGAAAACAGAGCTTGACCCACATTAAACCAACAATACCCTCAATATGGAAACAGAATAAATCTACCAGAAACAGCAAAACGACCTCAAGTTTTAAATAGCTTTTGAACACAGAAGCAAGAACTCCCAAGCATTTGAGCTGATAAGGAACACAACCTAGGACTGATCTTTTAAGTTGTAATAAGGACTACGTGGCTAAATAACAAAGCAATAAATTAATTATTACACAGAACTTCCCAGGGACAACAAAGAGGTAGGTTACTTTTTTTTCCCCCTTCTGTTGTTTTCTTTATGCTTTATTCTGTGCAGACATTTCTCTTTATCTGGTAAGTGTAGCTTGACAAATTGTGTATGACCACAGAAGCAAAGTTAAGCCCATGCAAGCATTTCTCAGATCAGGAATCTCATTAATTTTATAGCACTTCATATACCCATTTTCACACTTATTTTGTGTGCTACTTTCCCTAATAGCAGGCTGGTTATGGCCACATGCATGATGGAGTTGCTCTAAATAGCTAAGATACCATTATCAAGCTGGAACATCCAAGGACTGCCCAACTATTCCTCCCTGACTTTAACTCAGGGACCTAAAGACATTGGCTGTATTTGTGCAATGATCTAGATGCACTCCCCCAGCAGCTACTACTACTTGCATTTTCAGCAGCAGTTTAAAACAGATATTGGAGTACATGAAAAAAGGAAGACGATTCTAGAGTGGCTCCTGTCAACCTTGAACCCATCCCAGAAATTCTGTATCCGAGTATCAACATGGAAACGGGACAATTAAAAGAAGATGAGCACACTCTGGTGGTGCTTAAAATACTTGCTGAATAACTGGTAGTTCCAGAAGGAGTTATTCACATAAAAGAATCAAATTAAATAGTGGCACTATTTGAAAATACCAATTTATAACCTGGTACCTTACAACTACCTTAAACACAAGATGCAATTAAATGCTCCAACAGATCCCTTTGGGTAAAGAAAAACCAAAGTTCCAATATTTCACAAGTCTAAACAGCACAAAGGGATACTCTCTGTATCACACTGGATTTAAACAAAGTGCATTTCTTCAGACTAGGAAATGTTTCTTAATCACATGCGTGAATAGACTTGGCCTGTTTAAAGTACATGTGCATGACAACCGTAATCCTTCCTTAGCTCAACATTCCCCTTTCAAGCCAATTATTACTCCTACTCAGGTAAGGACAAAAATTATACGTCGGTAAAATTAGTCAACAAACATTACACACACACACCACTTGGGACATCATATATATATATATAGATATATATACACACACACTTCTGACTTTATTCTGCTTTTGCACTTTGCCAGTTTCTACCAGGCTTTTATCTTATGTTCTACCAGGCTTTTATCTTATGTTTTATCTTATGTTTCTACTAGGCTTTTATCTTATGAGGCACCCTTCTTCAGGGGCCTCACTGGAGCTCCCTGACAATACTTACACTGTCTATTCCCATGCCCAGTTCTCTATTGTTGCTTATAAATGCTTCAAGCTCATTCATGCCAGAGAAATTCTTGACGAACCAATGAAAGTTGATGATACTTTAGGACTAGGCAGATGCTTGTTTACTTAAGATTAGTCTGGAGCTTCCATTTCAAGTAAACTGACCACTGTAGCTCAACTTTTTAAAGAGTTTTTAGGCACTGCACAGTTGTCTTGTGACCAACTTGTTAGTGCAGCCTGCCAAAGAAATACATTCTGTCCAGTTCCTTTCTCTAAAGACTAGTTATTCCAAATGACATTTTTCTGTGGTAAGCAGGGAAAGCACTTCTGATGATTAAGCAAACCTGTTTTGGTCATAATTCTTCCTATTATTTTAGCCCTACTTGGACAAAAACATAAAAATAACTTATTTGCATTCCTTATCTGCCACATTAGATGTACATGAGAGGGAAAGAGTTCTCATTCCTGAAGTTACCTCTGAAAAAAATGCAGAGGGCTAAAGAAATATCTAACCAGTAAAATTAAACATGTTCAAACTACAAAAAAATAATAATAACAAAAAAATCTAAAGTCTGCCACTGAATACTGCCTTTCACACAATTTTCAGGTTATACATTTGAAGAACATTTTTCCTAATGATAAACTACTTGAATAACTGAGCATTCTTTTGAGTACAAGAAGCACATTCTACATTCTGATTTCAGCTTGAAGTATATCACTAAAGGAAGCAAACATTTAATTAAAGAAAAGCTGTCTAGGTGCACAATATATTCCCTAAAGTAACTCAACAAATGTCACCAAGCAAGACTGTTTATTATATTGCATTTTAGAGTTAAGACAGGAACTGCCTAGATAAAATCTTCAGTACTTGTTTCCTACTTTGAATCTTAAAATCCAAGCTTTCCACATTACAAAGTTGAAACCAAGGGCTGCACTATTAAAAAAATCTGTACAAAAAGACAGATTGTTGAACTATCCAGCCTAGCCTAGTTGTAAACTGGGTTATCAAACGTGAACCTGATTTTGCAACTGACTGTACACACAATATACATGCAGTTGTAAGGGGCTTCAGAGCCTTCTGCGCATATTCTGTAATTGTACGGATTCATTCCTCGGTTCATCTGCAGTACTGGAGGCTAATGGTGGGGTTCAGCTTAAATGCATAAACCTGAATACAGTAAAGGCATCCATAAGCAAGGTAGGCATTTCAGCTGGTGGTGAGATCTGGGGAGAACACTCAATCACTGACATACAGAAATCCTGAGCTGCCCTACTTATCGTGCCTGGCTTCAGCTACTACTCCAGGAGTGCAGGGGGTCTTGTAGGTGCTACATCATATTCACACTCCCTGTCTTGGAGTCCCCAAAGGTGTCTCAAACAGCATTAGATGCCTGCATGCAGTAAAATGAAAAAAGCCCCAGACAAGAGGATTGCAGAAGTCTAGAGCGTTAGAGGATGCTTTAAAGACTTGACAGCAGCCCACGGAAACCTCATTGGTTATCTGGGAGTTCACTCCTGGGCTTGATTCACTTGCCTGACTTTAGAGCAAGATGGTGCCACTTATGACATTACAGGATCATAGCATGGTTTGTGTTGGAAGGGAACATAAATCTCTTCCAGTTCCAAACCCCCTGCCATGGGCAGGGACACCTTCCACTAGACAAGACTGCTCAAAGCCTTGTTCAACCTGGCCTTGACACTGCTAGGGATGGGGCATCCACAACTTCTCTGGGCAACCTGTGCCAGTGCCTCACCACCCTCATAGTGAATATCCAAAGTAATGATATCCAAGAAATCTGCATGGGACAGGCCAATAAGACAAGAGACCTTCACAGAACATACATGGCTTTCTCTCCCAGCCAGTTAGGACATACCAGGACCCTAAAATGCCTTTAGATTTCCTACAGGGAGCTGAGGTGAATCTAGCTTACATGGAGACAATTATGGTCAGGTAACTTACTCTGCCTGAATTTCCACCAAACTAACACTTTATAGAGAATTGGGGGGAGAAGGGGAGCAACACAGGGAAAATTGAAGAAATATGCATTAAATCTGATTAAAATACATTAAATCACCATCATTCAAAATAATTGTTTGATGAAAGTGCTCTTAAATAGTTCATTTTATTGTTCCCTGTAAATTACAATTTAGCATCCTACACAACCTTAGATTGTTTTGATGTATGGAGAGAGACAAGGTGTTTATTAAATCTAATTGAATAAGTAGCTGAGCCTACTGAGCATAAAGGAAATAAGATGACTTCTGAATCGAGTGCAGGAAAGAAAAGAAACTTTAGAGCCCTCAAATGAAAGCTTCTTGACTGATGTGACATTATAAAGTTTCCATCTATATTGTTCAGATAAGCTTAAAAATGGAAAATGATGGCAAGAGAACCAAGAGATAAGTCACCAAGCAGTAAACAACGAACCAATGTTTTTCAAAGAGCTTATTAAGCCACATTTCCAGATTAATGCATATACATATCCACTCAGATTTACTATAAGGTAGCCCAACATCCAAAATTTGTTTTGAAGATGACGTAAAACAAGCTTTTGACAAAATTTTACCTCTACGGAAAGTCGGAACGGTGGTAACCGTGAAAGACTTCCTCTTAGGTTCCTATTTATTTTCCATTTTTAGGGCATTCTTTAGGAAGAAACCTAAAAATGTCTCTTATCTGAACTTTACCATATCATACTGAAGATCTTTTTCAAGCAAAGAAAAAAAAAAAAAAGATTCTTGAGGACAATTAACTCCTTTACTGAAGACAGGGAAGCGCCATTCATTCTTATCCCCCAAGAAAGATGGCAAAGAAAAAATAGGTTTTTCTAGTTAAGTAACTAAACTAAAATTTACTTTTGAAAACAGCAGTGTTATTTCCCAAAGTTGTTCTCAGCACAAGCCCAAAGCTATAATTCAGCTCTTTTAGCTGTTAAACATTAACAGAAGGCAATTTTTACAAGGGATTTACCAGGAGGAATGATCATGTAAAAATACAGCAAGCTTAAAAATACTAATACTGAATCTAGAATACAACTAACTATTGCAACCAGAAGACCCTGACATATCAGACCTGAGTATTTATTGATGGTAGAGTCTCATGTATTTTCTACAATTTAACAGAATACGGCTATATACTGGAATGGATTATTTAATTTTTTTTAAGGTAATGGAGGAAAAATCTGATTATGAACACATAATTTTATATAGTGTTGGTACCAACACAGTTGGCATATGCACAAGTAAACAGAACTGGGTGGCAACATAGAAGAAAAGCATGTCAGGAACAAATACTCCAAAATTAAACAAAAAAAAAACAACCCCAGAAACGGAACAAACAAAAATACCAACCCCACAAACAAACAAAACCACCCACAAAACAGTAAATAAAACCCTACTCATCCTCCCCCCAAAAAGAAGAGACAACAAAACTCCCAAACTAAATCATAAACTATCATATTTTAATAACTATGTGCAAATCCATACAAACCACCTCTAGATCTTGCTCCCTCTTGCGTACAATACTCAACATTGTAATTTGCAGATAACCTGTTAAGATTTGGTTGGTGCATATACAAAGCCAAAGAATGTATTTAATGGACATAAGAACTTACTACCCAAGCTGCATTTTTAGGGTAAAAAGCAATGAACAAGGAACACCCATGTAGTACCAGCTTCTAATCCAAATATGTATCACAAGAAAGTTGTAACTAATGTTTCCTATTATAGCTTACACTGCAGGTACCCACTCAACCCTAGTTAAAGTAAGGCAAATGACACTGTTATAGGTAATTTAGCAATACCATCTTTCTCATGAATAGCGCTTCTCTGTTTAAGAAAAGCTCAACTGTCATATTACATCTACTCACATGAAAAATTGGGAACCATTGGTATGTTTCCCTCGGTTTGCCATTGACAAAAGGAACGCTCTGTCATGTTTGAGAATAAAGTTTTCATCTGTTTGAAGAAAAAATATGTTTGTCAGATTTTCCCTGACAAGGAACATAAGGCTAAGTTTCTTAGTAACTTATGGATGCTACAAGGAGAAATTCTGCTGCTGCTGCTAAAGAAACATGAATAAGTTGAAGAAAAACAAAAATAAAGCTTAAATAAGCACCTCAAAGTTACAGTAGAAGCAGTTATGAGACAGAAAATGTTCTTTCTTAAAGAAAAAGCTTTAGATACAGTGCAAACATTTCTAACGAAAAAACATTTAAAGTCATCAGTACTGTCTTCAATAAACAGTAGATTCTCATAGACTTGGATTTAAATCCAGCATTTTCTGAATAAGAACACTGTTGGCAAATTGACTGAAATCCTAAACCAAGACTAAACATACATGATACTGTTATTTACACAGTATGCACCTCAGGAAGAAAGATCAGGAGAACAAGCCATTTCCCCAGTGTGGATCGTTATGAGATAGCCACCTATCCACTCCAAACTGGAAGTCTCAAAATGTCCAAGGGAGAAAAAAATAAATACCTGAATAAGAAACTAAAGAACAAACTGTTCCTGCAACCTAAGTATAAAATCAATTAAGACTAAACTAAACATGTATTTTGCATTCCAGTAAATTAAAGAGGACTTCTGGTTGCACAGCATAATATAAAACCAGATCTTCTGAAGCTCATTTTCAAAGCTAAAAATAGTAATTTGAGTGTACAAAGCCATTACTTGTAAGATTACATATCATGGTCTTGCATGCTCAGCACTCACCCCCTTTAGAAACTAACCCTACTAACTTTTTAGCAAATGGATCTGTTCAAGACTTTCTTTTGACTAAAGGTTGTAATACTCCAACACCAAATGATGTCCCTGTAAGATAAACTTAATGGCATGCACTTAACCACGCAGAGCTACTTGAAAAACATACAGAATCTGGAGCTGTTACCCAAATACATGTAATGCTTTTTTTAATGCTTAAATACCACATTAACTACCCATTGGTTTGGGTTGTTTTGGGTTGGGCTTTTTTCCAGTAAAGAATTTTATGTCTTTGAATATGTTATAAATTCACCATTTTTCTTCCAACAACAGATTTTGAAAAGAAGTAAATGCACATTTATTTACAAATTCTTTGCAAGTAAAGTAACTTATTGAGCATATAAACAAAGTAAAAACACTTTCAGAAACAAACACTAAGCATACAAACCTTGAATAGGGAAGGGGAGGAAAGGGACATTAACAAAACAAGAAATAATTGTTTAGAGATGGAAATTATGCCAGTATTCTTTTTCAGAATAAGCTACTAACCCTCAGAAAGGTCAGACACAGAACACTTCATTTTTCCAAGCAACAGATATCCATCTACAAACGGACGTATCAGTTGGCTATATATTTACTAGGGAGGGTACAAGGGAACAGAGTTTGAATTTGTGTTACTGAGCTTTTGTCTCTTACCTTTTCATTTTGCAAAAGACCACAATCTCTATAAACAAAAGAATATGTTGACAGTTTTAGGCAGGAAGATAGGAGTTTATTCATGAATAAAGTTGCCTAACCTCCATGCTGAAAGTCATGTTTAACGAATAATGTTAGCCTTAATTAATTGTCAGTTAAAGTTAAGTATTACCAAAAAAATTATCTGAAAGTCATGCATATAAAAAGGATTCTCATGCAACATTAGTTTCATGCAAAAAGTGATCTATAAGTATACCTGTCTGCATTAAATACCTTCAGAATCAAGATTTATCTCAGAACTAAATAAAGAATCTGCAAAGATGTATTTCCTCTTACCTTTGAAATAGCCACCATAAATAGATTCACCTCCTTTTCCATTACCTGTGCATTAAAAAGCATGAATTAAACCTTTTGTTTTGTTTATGAAAAAAAAGTCATATGTAACATTCCACCAGTTTACTGCAAACCAGTACACTCTGGCCAGTTACTAGAATTACTCCTTAACTCAGTCACAGCCACGCATTGTCCTGTTGACACTTGAAATACTGAGAATGAAGATAGCCTTAGTATCTCTGAACACTGGGCTCTAAAGGCCAGTTCTCCAGTCCTCACTGGTATTTGCTAAAGCAACAGCATCCAGCAAAACAACAGCAAGGAGGAAATAATAAAAAATAAAAATGAAACAGACAACAGTAGGTATGAGCAACAATCTTGCCTGGCCCAAAGCCGTTGAAAGGCCACTAGAATGGAAGGGCTAAGAACATAACTAGCAGTTTTAAATGCTCTTCTACTTGACTCTCAAAGCAAGATACTCCTTCACCACACACATTTTATCAGGCAAAAGATTTCAGGAAGTGAAGGAGAAAGACATTTTGGTAAGGACAGGTATTTCAGGGAAGGACAAAAGGCTAAAACATTCTGTTGTACACTGTTGTACATACTGCAGGGAAGAAAGCAAAGAAACTCCTAGATAATATCCTTTTAGAGATTTTTTTCATGAAACACTTCTAACTTATCTACTATTTTATTTCTAAACTTATTCAAACAGTTATGTCCCAGTATTAATAGGGCATGATTCGTGCCACCTCTACTGCAGGCACGAAAGTGAAAAGCAGTTAAAACTACAGTTTGGACTTGAACTGTTTTAATAATGTAAGTGTTACCAGCCCCTAAACTAAAGGGTTTTTCCTTCTTTAAATTAATACATTTTTCTAAACAAATATTACTTCAGATGAAACATTTTATAATTTCAAAAATTAACAAAGAAGTGCTATAATTCACAGCAAATTAAATATTTTTATGGCACTGTAATAATTCCACAGCACTTTCTAAAGTTACATTATAATCACATAAGTCATAACAAAGTTCCATTTATATCATTTCAGTTTTAAACATGTATTTTACCTTCGCTGAAGTCCCCACCCTGGATCATGAAGTTTTTAACCACACGATGGAAGGTAGTGCCTTTGTAACATAGCTTCTTTCCAGTTGTTTTGCCAATTCCTTTTTCACCTGCAAGAGGGTTAAATAGAAAGAATCTACAGACTGTCACAAAATAAATTGTAAGGGTTTTCCCTCCCTACTGCTGATGTATATAAGAGCCAACAGAATCGTAGAACTATATAAGACACCACACCCCTACCTGTCGCCTTTTCAACATCCATTACTAGCAGACAGGACCTCTTTACAAGGGGACTCAAGTGAAAAGTAGGTTATTTCTTCAAAAAAAAATTCTAGCCCCTCCCAAGGAAGAGTGTATTTATTAGCAAACCACTTGTGACAATTTATAGAAAATAAAAGTTCATTATAATGATGGGTTAATTACTTTCTGTGGTTATGGCTATACTGTGATGCTAGCTGAAGCTTATACCTGACTCCTTTTCAAACCGTTATATATCTGGATTTGGCACCTGAATCCTTGGACAGAAATTTGAGCTCAGAACAGGCTTCAAATCAGCTTCAATACAGTCCAGTCATGGAAAAATGGGACTGAGCTACTCCAAGCATGCTTCAGATCTTTACCAATTCATGAACAGTGTTGGGCCACCCACTAATGCCAATTTACCCAGCACTGACCCTCACCATCTCAGTATGAAAATTGAGACTTTCATTTCTGAAAAGAGTGACAGAACAGGGGAACAGAATTGTTTATACAAGATCAGTTCCAGGGTGAACTGAATGTTGATTGTAATGGGGATGGGAGAGGAGGGCAACAACCGAAAAACAAAAAATTCCTCAAATCCTGTACTGTTACCAGGGTCACTCTTATCCAGCAGGAGAAGGCACACCAGGCCATAGTACCTGTTAATTCTTTCTGAGCCTTGTATTTTTTAAGGAATGACAGCCAGTGGACTCCTGCTGCAGCTGTAGCTCAAGCCTAGTGGTGATTTTTGAGAAAGTTTCATTAACAGTTCTTCCAAAAGCCAGGAGAAAAATTTCACTGGGCATGTGGATGAGGGTACTGCGACTGGCAGGGCAGAGGTCCTGCTAGTAGGTTCATGAGGGATTTATACTGACCCAGTCAAGGAACAAACAAGAGACACTGACTTCAGATTCCAGAAAGTGGAGAGCTGGCAGAACACTGGGATTAAGGGCATTAGGTATATTATACCCCATACAACAGCTAAAATCCCATGTAAACCATAGTTCAGGAGATAGTCTGTAATGAGAAAGGACAAATAACCTAATTTTCTGTTTCATCCCACCACTAATTATGAAAAAGACATTTGACACTCTATCAGAGGACATTTAACGTGTATGTTCTGTACCACGTAGTTCACTCAGAAATGTTCCTGTACTTGTTACCTAGAACCAACACTCTCCTTTTGCAATCTCTTGCTCCTCCACACAAAATTAACTCCTGGCCAAATCACACCAAATTTGCCATTCTAAATAGCCAACTGCTGCCAGGATGAGGGCAAAGAGAGTGACACAAAACCCACTCACGGCACTGTATTTGTAGAACCCTCTTCTTGGAGAATATAACGTATTTTCCATTACCCTGACTCTCCATACCCATGGCTCTCACCAGTTATCTTCATTTGATATTATGAGAAGGGAAGCTCCTGACAAAGTGCCAAAGAGCAGATGGGCTTGGGCCTGTGCTTGTTCAATAGGTGGACTGACGGAAGGACCTGAAAATGCCAGTTTGCAAGCCCAGATGTTTTAATTTAAACGCAAGGAGCCTCTCGCTGTCAAGGCAGACAGCATTTTTTCACAGGAGCCAGGTCTATTTCTGACAACGTCAGGCTGCAGGAAGGCTGCCCGAATCACCCCGTCCTCCATCTGTCTCCGACAAAAACATCCTGGCTTGCTTCACAGAGATTTTGGAGGGAGCAGCAGGCAGAATGATGGGCACAGCATTTTAAATACTGGTCTTTCTCTCATGCCATATCCCTCTACCTTGAGACAAATGAAACCACCATTTGTGTGGTTTCACAAAATGCATGCCCACCACACAATGGATGGACACAGCTCAAGTTGCTACAAGGTCCAGACCTCAAGAGCAGACCTCCTAACTTTGCTTACTTTATAATATTCTTCCAATTAAAGACAAGCTGCAGCTGAAGACATCAATGAAACTTGTACAGCCAGCTGCAGAAGAGAACTGAAACAGGGATCCAATACAAAGACTTTTTTGCTTTAAAAACTTGTTCTGCCTGTTTGTTTTGTTCCTCATTATCTCCAACACCTTTCCCTTCCTTTACCTCCACCTAACATTCTTCTAGCAAAGTTGCTGTCAGGATTTAAACAATTCTTTGGAGCTACAGAACATGAGGCTCAGACATTATGCTATCCAGTCTAATACTGCATTTAATTTATCTTTTGTGCTCTATTCTGAGTAAGATAAACTTCAAATGAGCTCCCATTTTTGTATGAGAGCTGTACCATTCTTGCCCATTTTCAGTCTATCTCTAGGTATCTCTAAGAGGAAAAAAAATAATCTGAGAGTAGAATAAAAAGAGGAAGCACCACAGAAAGACCTCAAAAAAATGAGGTACATACTGCACCTTCCACAGTTCATAGTGTTATGAAGCTATTCTGAATCTTCAGAAATTATCTAGAGCACATCACATTCTGGGATTTGAGCTCTGACAAGATGAGCTTTAAGAAGTTAATACATAAGGATATCAACAAATTTATTTCACATAACCAGATAGCTAAAAGCTGCTGCTCACTAGAGCCAGATGTTAAAATGCTGCCTGGAAAGTCTTGCTGGAGTCTTTGAATGAATTGGAAAAGAGTTATTTCATGTTAAAAGGGAGAGGCTTCACTGGTATAGATAGTTCAGGATATATTGTAAATCACTGAGCACCCAGTTATAAAAGACCAGGAGAGCACCAACAGACACTTATGTGAAGAATGTATTTTGAAACACACACCAATTCCTGTAATAACCCAATCAAGATTAATCTGCAGTTTACAGCTGAAAAATCTCTGAGGAACAGTGCAGACCAAAAAACCCCACCAAATCCTTGCTACTAGTACTCTTTTTGAAAAAGCTAAGTCCTGCTTAACTGAAAAAAAAAACAACAACAAAACTCAAAAAAACAAAACAAAAAACAAAACCCCCCAAAACCAAAACCACCCTTAAAAAATGGGCTGGAAGGTGCTACATTATACCCAGACATTCTTTTGTAAGTGCTGCCCCTTTGATTTCACAGATCTCCAACCAAACAATGCCAGTATTTCTATGGGACCATCATATTCCCTTTTAGTCCTTCATTAGCTAAAAATGAAGAAGTTTTCTCAGATTTAAAAGATGGTTATTTCCTCTGATCTCTGCAGCACTTCTATGAACCTGAAATATACTCAAAGTTTTATTATAGATAAGCAACATTTTATATAAGAAAAAGTTTCAATATATTCAGCTTTATGTAGTGTCCCAAGTCAAACATCACTATCATACTGTGCAGTGACATTAATTTAAATATGTCTCCTGACAAATCCTAGCACCCTGATAATCCTAAAGAATTGCATATCACATTTGTGTAACTTCAGTGACCTCTTGATAGTCTCAGCCTTGTCAATCACTTCTACCTAAAGGAGTCCCACATTAGGGACCAGAAGTTTTTGTTCCATAAATTCAGTTAGCATTCTCTAATCATGTATTATCGCCACTATCCTAACTCAGACAGCTACAGAATACCACACTATTTCCTGCTATGCATTATTCAAACATTCTTCAGGTCTAACAAGTCTCAGCTTTGTTTTCCCCAGGAAAATAAAGATCAGCACTATTATTATGATGTGGATTATACTTGTATAACAAATAATAATTCTAAGAAATAAGAAGTCTTAAATATGAGCATGCTACTTACCCGAGCACAAGCAAAGGAAGTTTTTACAAGTCTTCGGACATATGTCTGAGAAGAGTTGAAACATAATTCGACCAACTAAAAGGTTAAAAAAAAAAAAATTAAGAGTTTTATAACTCATAATAAGACTTCACATAAATAAGCATAGTTTGAATATAAAATTTTCCCATAAATTTTTTATCAATTTTTATTATTTTTATCAATAAATTTATTTTATCAAGCAGAAAGCATCTCAAATATGCATACATTAAAACAAGCAGCAGGAAAGAACAACACCATAACAAAAAAATGAAGATTGATATCATTACATCTAATTTTATTTAAAATCCTAATTATTCCATTTTGATTTGAAAGACAAACTTACTTATTAAAATTTTTTATCCTGCCTATTCCTGTTTTGAAAACATGTGCCATAAATACAGGTCCTCAGAGACTGGAGTAATTCCCCCGCTCCCATGTACTATATTTATACAAGTAAGTTAATAGTAACATTATCACAGCTTCCTCTGTGGCAGTTACCTAAAAAGCCCAACTGACTTAGTCCCATACTGTGTTAAGGACTAGAGATACATCAGCACTCTTCGCCTGAAATCCTCTCAGTTTAACAACAAACAAAAAAGATGAACCAAAATACAAAAGGCAGGCAAAACGCCAACAACAATTTTAGCATTTACATTCCACTTGCCAGGTACTATGAGCCACATACTACCTTCTGCCTATGCAAAGTGGGCAGACTAATTCTCTCAGTCCAGCTACCCCCATGCTACTGGTGGTAGTTATGCTACGTACCTTCCAAGACGATTAAGTACTGCTGAAGAGTGCTTTCATATATACTGGGTTAGAACTGATTCACATTTTCTTTTATATTCCAAGATACTGGGGTGTATGTTGCTAAAGAAAAATACCCAAAAAACCCATATGAAAGCTTCAAAAAATATGTAACTAGCAAATAGGAAGCTGCTAAATAAGTCATAAATAAGCCACACTGTCAACCAGCATTACAAGGAGACCAGAAATAATCTGTTAATGAGCACTACACTCTAGTGGCGTGCACTGGTAAGACTTCAAAGATTTTTTTATTTTCCTTCTGCCCTGGGTTCAGCAGTAGCAGTCATTTTTCTCCTTCTTAGTAGCTGGTGCAGTGCTGTGTTTTTGACTTTCAGCCTGGGAACAACGCTGATAACACCGATGGTTTTAGTTGCTTCTAAGTAATGTTTACTCTTACGAAGGAGTTTTTCAGTCTCATGCTCTGCCAGGGAGGAGGGGAAGCCGGGAGGAAGCAGAGACAGGACACCTGACCCAAACTAGCCAAAGGGGTATCCCATACCACAGCATGTCATGCCCAGCATATAAACTGGTGGGAGCTACCCAGAAGGGCTAGATCACTGCTCGGTAGGGCTGGGTATCGGTCAGCGCGTGGTGAGCAGCTGTATTCTCTCCCTTTGTTATTTCCATTATCATTATTATGGCAGCAGTGATTTGTGTTATACCTTAGTTACTGGACTGTTCTGATCTCAACCCCCGAGAGTTACATTCTATCGATTCTCCTCCCCATCCCTTCTGGAGCAGGGGGAGGAAGAGGGGGGGCAGTGAGCAAGCGGCTGTGTGGTTCTGAATTACTGGCTGGGCTTAAACCACGATGCCTTCCACACCCAAAAAAAAAGAAGTTCAAACGCCTTTTATTCAATATTTTGTCATTAAGAAAAATTCTGAGAAGCTCCTAAGAAATTGCATTCAATTTTAAGCCTTTGTCCAAACATACGTAATTGCCAACAAGGTGAACTGTTGGTTAAAAAGGGGGAGAAACAAAATAATACCACCTGTATTTTGCAGTCTTGGATATAAATTCAAGATGCCTTCAGCTGATGAAATGTCTGCATTTCATAGGATTATAAAACAGTTTGGGTTGGAAGGGACCTTAAAGCTCATCCAGTTCCAACCCCCTGCCACAGGCAGGGACACCTTCCACTAGACCAGGTTGCTGCAAGCCACATCGAACCTGACCTTGAACACTGCCAAGGATAGGGCAGCCACAGCTTCTCTGGGCAACCTGTGCCAGGGCCTCACCACCCTCACAGGGAAGAACTTCTTCCTAGTATCCAATCTAAATTTACCCTCTTTCAGCTTAAGGCCATTCCCCCTTGTCCTCTCACTACACGTACTTGTAAGAAGTTCACGAACTACAGTAAGAAGGTTCTCTGAACTTTCTCATTACAGTAGGAAAATCTAAAGAAAATGGTGAGGAACGGTCTCCAAAGAATGAAGAAACAGCAAATATTCAAAGACCTCACATTAAACAGTGGTAGCTGTAACAACCAGTATGAAAAAGCAGCTATTCTCAAGTGAAGAAATGATAACCTATGCAGATTGAAGACTCATGCAGAGAACACAATGGAGTAGACAGTTTAGTAAGTTATCAATTTTCACTAAAAGCACAGTCATTCAGGAGAACAGAAGGCCCATTCCCCCTCTTACAAAAGCGCTGAACAGTGACTAAATACTTTAAAAAGCCACATATACATTTTCTCTTGCATTCACTGTGTGAAATAATATATGCACTTTGCAAAGAAAAGGTCATCACTATCCCCATTATACCAAGAGTAGAGAAATAGAGACGAGCTGCCCTCAGACATAAATTGCAGAAGCCTCTGGCTTGCAAGTTCCTGTCCTACATACAAACCCCACCATATCTAGCATGTGAAGCAGCAAACACCACCACTTCTGTTTTCTGGTTGAAGAATGTCATTTGAAGCTCTTGAAGATGCTAAGGCAGAAGGTGGGAAAAAACATTCATAACTAAGGTGTCATGATTTCAACAGCATCTTAAGCTCATGCTTTGTCAATAATAGCATCTGGTAGCTTCTCCTGCCTTTCAACTCCAACAAACTGCTTGTAATGCACATATCCACAACCAAAAGACTAGAACCAGTTTAAAAGACAAGGACCTCCATATAACCTAAAGTACTGCTTACCCAGTTTATCCGGCTATATAAAATAGTGCCATGTGCTTACAAGACACAAACCACATACTGTGCGTCCATCTGCTGCGTTGCTACCTGTATGTTACCTAAACTGCATCAATACCATTATCACTGAAAGCTTTTCCACTGACAAACAGTCAATTAAATGTGCCAGAGAAAGATCAAACACATTTTCACACCTTGATCTGACAAATACATATGAAACAGCAGCTGTTAATAAAAAAAAAAAAAAAAAATCTGCATAAAAGTTATGCTTAGAACTTACAAATCTTTCTCATCTCTCAAACAAAAAAAATAACAGGAAACATCTAATTTTAAACTTGGAGCTGAGGTAGGTGCTGACATAACACAGATAAAGCATTTGAGATGCTATTCATTTTCTCAGATTTAGACACCTCTTATCTCAAAATGATCCACCTACACTGTATAGAGGAAATTAACAAAAGATTAAGTTATCCCATTAGGGAACAAACTTTCCAGGACTAACAACAAGACAACAAGCAAACAAACAGATTGCTAAGAAGAGGTATTCAAGTAGGTGAAGTTTGCTTACAACCTACCCTGACTCTTCGATTGGTCTTGGCCAAGAGATGAACCTGCAGAGATGCCTCACTATAAATTAAAACTAAAAACATTAGGATTATATTTTTAACAATGAAACTCTCATCTAACATGAGATGTAAATGTTCCAGTACCACAAGAAAGTTACACAAACTCTTAAATCTTGATTTTAACACATCAACAGGCAGGACATTTATGTAATTTTAGTGTATTCTCAATAGAAGACTGAATCTCACTACCTCACAGCTATGATGATGTGCTCGCCTATAGTACAGTGTAGATTTTAAAGTACGTTACTGTACTTCTTGAGATAGCCAACACCATAGGAATTTATCCAGTCATAACGTAACATCTGCCTATTATTTATAAGTCAATACTTTGATAAAACATTCTTATTTGTTAGAAAACTTTTGACTTTTTAAACAATATTTTTGATAGAAATTAAAGTGATGAAAGAGTATTTACCTTACTGGTAACTACATACAGTAATTGATGTATATATAAAGTCAAAGATGTTTTCAAGTTTGGTTTCACAAAGTGCTGTATGCAGCTAATAAGCTTATAGAAACCTGAAAGCATTACAATCAGAAATAATCCAGTTCCAGGACTATTTTCAAATCAAAAGATGAGAGGTTTTTTCTTGTGTTTTTGAACACACGATCAATTTTTCAGCTGAGGAAGAACTAGTACTTGATTCAAATTAAGTGGTAAAAATTAAGGGTAGGAATGTCCATGCTATATTGTGCTGAGGGCTTCTGCTGGCAAAGTCTAATAAAATCAGTGAATTAAAATGTTTATTCAGTGATTTCCTCCAGTTTAGCTGCTCAACTTTTCTGAAACAACCTCAGGAGCCATGTAGTACAAACTGTTTTGCTAGATGTTATGTTTAGACCATAAAGGTGTCAATTTCAGACAGACATTCCCAAAATAAATCTTAGCTATTCAAAAATATATTGGGTTTGACTTTTCCCAGTTTCCCAGAGCAAGCCAAGTACGCAGTCACTGAAGCATTTTTTTTTCAGTATATCAACAGGAATATCCTGCTGAAGAGGAAAGCAAGGATTACAACCATTAAAACAGCAATGCACATCCCCTACAGGCTGACTCCAGGATGCCTGTCAGAGGCCAAAAAGCTTAGACAGATCTGCCTGAAAGTTTAAATAATAGCTCACTAAAAAGAATGTATTTTAATGTTATTGATATATTTATCCCTAAATTTGTCAGCACTAAGTCATATAAACTTTAAAAGACTGCGTTAAAGTAGAAATGTAGCTACAGTTTTCAGAAAAATACAAACTTACTGTGGAAAAGGAACAGATTGTAAACACCAGGTAAAACAATGGATGTCACAGTTGCCCTGAGCAGGCATCTATGCCTTGACACATTAATACTTGGTTAATGCTTCCTTACCCCACTTTACACTCTTTTCAAGGAAAGCCTCCATAAACTTACTTCCCCAGCTCTCTACTAAGCCCAGTCTTCCGTAAGTACTACCTGAAGCTCCGCCATTACAGAACTCTGTGGTCTCCACTAAAGCAAACATATTTCAGTACTGCATACAACAAAAATTTACTACCTTACTATATTTCACAGAGATATGCAAGTGAAAGACTGCACTTTTTCTTCTCCTAGCAAAAGAGGCTCATCAGTTAGATCTTCCACTTACTAATCCAATTTGTTCTACACTTCAAAGTAAGTCTTCAGGGTATTTCATTCTGCACTGACAACAACTTTATATGATGACTGGATTACAATTTTTATTAAACCAGTTCCCTCCGAATCTACACCTTAGCTCCCTTACAGGGGTACCCCATACAGAGTGCCCCATTGGCTCCTGCTGTACTACACCTAACTGGATTGAGAACTGTTTTATGGACAAAGTCAAAGTGCTGATCTGTTTTCTGCCAATATACAACTTTTTGCCTTCAAAGGCCTGAAGGTTAATGAGAAGCCAGTTAAGAACAGTTTCTGTCTCCAGGAAGGGTAACAAAATCCCCATAAAGCACCCCTGGTTCTATTAATGCAAGCACAGTACTACAACTTTTGCAGTGGAGCTTATTTCACATAAATTCATAGCAGCAGCAGCTGAAATTCCAAAATATACCAAACTTTTGCCTGAATTGACTAGAAGGAGAGAAGTAATAGAACAGCAGATTGACTGATAAGGGAAGGGGCATACCAAAGGAAGGAAACTGAAACAGAATGAAAAAGTGAGGAAAGGGTTAAACAATAACAAAGGACAGCGGGAGGGGAGGTAATAAACCAAGATGAAAAGGAAAATTCTTCCAAGAATAAGAATGAAAAAAGCAAAAATGAATAAATAATATATTTCATGATGTATAAATCTAGCTGGGGAAGGGTGGGAGGGGAAATGTGTGAAAAAAAAAGAATCTTGGATGGCCACAAGAACTGCTACAGCAGCAGACTCAGACTATGTATGCGATATCCTAGTCAGGCATCTGTTCTAATTATCACAGTATCTGAAAGACTGAAGCTCCACACAGATTTTTGCATCAGAGATTAGAGATAGAATTATTTAAATTGGCATCTGCTGCCATCCCAAGATTCTTGGAATACTGTAAGGTAGTTTACTCCTATGTGCACCCTGTATGCAGCCATATCCATTGGTATGGGGGCCCAAGAGGAGGGAGAGGTGCTGTTGGCGTTAGTATCAAGATAAACACTTATTTCTGATTTATTCTCCCTTTGCTCTTCAAAAACTATGAACCATAATGTGCATTCATAAAAAATGCTTAACAGGCAACTTATTAAAAACAGCCTAAATTTAGACTTAAAAACACAGACGCAAAGCCTTCAAAATTTGCCCCACTGTGTGGGGGAACATTTTTGGACACCAAACTACGCTGTTAAACATGACATGGTTGTGTGTTCTGCAGGTGAAGAGATGTCTCCAATATGTTAAGAGGCATGTCTGCTTATTCTCTGAATTTTGTGGGGAGATGTTAGTTCAGCTGTTCAGTGTAGACAGGGTGGGGGGTATGTCTTATCTCTTGGCTAGCGACAAGATGTAGGACTGATCTTTTGCCCAGTTCTTTCTCCCTACATCTAATAAAAATGAGCCAGCAGATCAGCTTATTGTATTAAAGTCAAATAAACAAAGCCTTAACTTCAAAATCTGCTGGCAGTTTAAAAGTTAAAATGAATACCTCACTAGTATCAGCAGGGAGAGTACATCTCACAGTTAGTGCTTCATGTCATCTGGAAGCACTGCTTTATCATTCCCACTTGATTCAGCTTTTGAAGGTCATCTTACAGCTAGAAGAGCAATGTTTAAGCTTTTTAAATATAACCTTAAATCCTGAGGCATAGTTGCATAGTGAATTCATAAACAGACACCAGAATAAAGTAGCATAACCAGATTACACCTAAGTCCCATACCAATATTTTACAAATTGGCACATTTTCCTGCAAAAATACAAGCCATTAGTCAGGTGCAATGAAACCAGCACGGCTCTGAATTTGATATACACTTTTGAGATCCTTGTTACTTTAAAGGGACAATAAACACTGACAGCCACAAATACAGCCAAAGCCCTCTGTCTACTTCAGGTAACCAAAGCTCTGCACCACCAAGAACACTAACACTGCAATTCCTCTCTGACACCGCTATCAGTCATCAAACCCAAATAGATGTGAGGAAAAACAAGGTAATGTGCTTTCACTCATGATGCACAGCAGAAGGCTGAGGAGACAAGACAGTCAACAAGGGATATAATGAAAGAGCAGGAACACATACATAAAGAGCAGAAGAGAACAGTACAGGGAGAGATTCTTCAGATGGAGAGTCAAAACAAAAAACCCCTAACAATGATTACAAGCAAATGAGATGAATAATGAGTTGTCTTTGCTATAAAGCAATGCCATTAAACTATCATTCCTAAACTGGAAACCTACCCAACGTAAAACCTTTTTAGTAGTCTTATTCATAGTAAAACTAAATTTAAAGACATAGAAAATGTTAAAAGTCCATTTATATTAACTTTTTTCTCTTCAATAAAAGTATTCAGAAAAGGCACATTTAAATAACTCAAACAGGAGTGACACCAGCAACAGATTTATAGATATGCTCTATCTGAAGGCTGAATTCAGAATTCACTGAAGCTTGAATTGAATCTGTCTTTTGAAATGAAAAAGCAAGTTAATGGGTTACAGTTATATTTGAAAGCAACTGAAATTTGAAGTGCAAAGATACAAACTTATTTCAAAGGCTTTCAGAGAAACACTGAAGCAAAAACTGAAAGTGAAAGCATAATGAAGCCATCACATTCCTTAATTTTTCTGAGAGATAGACAGCAGCAATATAAAGCATTTTATGCGAGGCAACTCGGATGCACTAACAAATTCATGTTCAAAGCCATGGGTAAATAAATCTCCACAACCATTTTTACAGAGGGCGGAAAACAGAAGAGGGAATCAAGTACCTATTCCGGGATTAAAATTCACAGTCTGCCCCTAACAGGCAGATTACACTTCCCATAGGGAAAATATGAGTTAAGAGATGGATTTGTTTTAATTATGTTTCTTTTTTGAAGTGGCCACCTGATGAGACATTCTCTGCTTCTACAATCCCATGGTCAATTCTTTATTTACACTCACAAGACTCATTTTAAGCAGGAGGAGGAAAGATTTTTTGCCAGCTGACCTCCTGAGGTCCCTTTCCGATTTTAATTACCGTATGATTAAAATTACTTCTCCGAGTACCTTTCCAGTTTCCTCACGACTTGCCCCAGTTTTCCATAGTTTACAGAACTGTAAAGGTACAATAAACAACCAGGCAGCACTTCTAATAAAGGATGCGCTTTATCTTGAAAATGGTGTTAGCCTCACAGAGCCTCTCACATATGAGACTAAAAATGTGTCTTAAGAGAATAAAAAAACATCCAACACACCGGTAAACATCAAAAGTTACTAAAACTAACTCAGAAATAAGATCAATGGGCAAACTCCTTGATAACGGCTCGAGTACATTAGGGAGGCAAAAATGTGGTAAAACCCATCCCAAACACGACACTTCAGACAAGACTCGTGCCAGAGACACTGGCCTTACCTGGCTCCCGGTTGATCTCTATCTCGAAGAAGCACTGAGGCCGGTCCTGCACCCCCATGGCCGCGGGCAGCCCTGCAGCCCCTCGGCCTCGCCACCTGGACACAAAGAGGAGCCGCGCTGGGAGCCAAGCCCGCCCCGCCGAGGGGTAGCATTACACGGCCGCAGCGCTGCCAGAAACTCCGGGCGACACCTTCCCCTCCCACTCCCCCTTCAGCCGCCGGCAGCGGGGCCGCTGGAGCGCGAGGGCAGGCGGCAGGGCACCGGGAGGAGGCCGGCGGGGGGAAACCACCCCGAGGGGAATTTCCTCCTCTCACAAACATGGGGGAGGTGAACAGGGAGAGGGGGGCACAGCCCCGTCCAGCGCTTGCCTGCCCTACCTATCTCCTACCCCGGGAAGGGGTGCGGCGGCCGCGGCCTTACCTGGCAGCTCCGGCGCTTTGTTCGCTCTCCGCGCCGCACGCCCCGCTCAGCGCCCCCGCCCTCCGCCCCGCTGCCAGGAGGCGCCGCCGGCCCCCAGCGCCATTAGCCGACGGGCTCCACGGCCCGTCCGTCCGCCCCGCCCCGGTACGGCGCAGCACAGCGCGGCCCCGCCTCCAGCTGCTACGGCCCGCCCCTCGCCGCCCCCGCCGCGGTTTCCCGCCGCCTGCTGTGAGGGAACGGGGGCGCGGTGATGGTGGGGTCGGGCGCCCAGTCTCAGGGCTGGGGGCAGCGCTCCCTCCTGAGGGGCGAACCTGCCGTGTCTCCTTTCGTGGCCGGGGGATAGGCACGGTGTGAGGAGTTTACAGCGTTAATAAAATCGTGATCCCCGTGGCGAGCATCCCTCCTCACTGCCCTGACCCCGAGCTGCCATGACCGTGCAGGACGCTGGAGCTAAGCGACCATCTCGCACACGGTGCTTCACCTTTCTAATTTGAGAAGTCTGGGTGGATTTACAGAGATGCCGCCCTCTGAAGGGAAAATCTTTTTGAGAGCACAAAAAAAAAAAAAAGCCCAACCAAAAACTTCGGAGATTTTGTATGAGGGAGTGTTCGCCTTGATGCATGTGTCAGGGCTGTGGTAGGATCGCTCTGGTTTTCTGGCATGAAAACAAGGCTGGCCTGGGGTGATCCCGTCCTTTGCTGAGCCTTAGCTCCGCATAAACTTACAGAGCCTTGCCTTTGGAACTCAAGAAGTGTTTGGAAGCATTCAAGGCCAGGCTGGATGGGGCTTGGAGCAACCTGCTCTAGTGGAAGGTATCCCTGTCCATGGCAGAGGGGTGGAACTGGTTGAGCTTTAAGGTCCTTTACAAACCATTTTGTGATTCTATTCCACAATTCCAGCAATAAGTTTTGTTGCTTTCTAAGCAGTGAGGACATCTTATTCAGTCCTTGCCACACCAGAAGCAAAACATTTCTGAAGCAAAACATTTCAGAATGCTTTCCAGAAGTTGTACAAACGAGAATTCATTGCAGTAGTTGTACCTGGCAGCTGTATCTGTGGTTACGTCCTTGTCTGAGGAGAAACTCAGAGGTGTTAGATTAAAAAAAGAATGTGCTGAGAATAAAGACTAGCAACGCTGACATCAATGGATGTTTTAGAAGTTAGGAATGCAGCAAAATGGGATTGGTTTAGATGTAATTTATCTATAGCTTTAGTGGCTGCTAGCACTATAGTATTTAGGCCTCCAAAGGCATTTTAACAGCCAGATTCTGTCATTCTTTATTATGTTTAATAACATGGATTGTGCAAGTGGTCCCTAAGGAAGTCTGTCAATGGAGTTGTCACAGAAGTTTGCTGGTCCTTTGGAGATACTTGCATGGTAAGCCATCACACAACGTAAAAAAAACCTAGCACAGTCTGGCCCTAAATTATTTAGCTGTGAAATGCTTTTATAATATAGAAGCTTATTATTTTCCACAATTTAAAATGGCAACTGAGAAACAAAGCTACTGAGAAGCTGAGTTACAGTAGCTTCGCGGAATTCCTTTCCAAAAATTAAAATTTGAAATTTGATTTCCTTAATCTTCCCAAACAATAAATGTATGCTTGGGTTTTATGGTTATATGGGTTTTTTTTTGTTTCCTCCTGAGCTGAAATAACCTATTAATTCCCTTTTAACCTGCATCCTCTTGCTCTTTTGCTTTCAGAACATGAGCTTGCTAAAGGCAGGTAAGCAAATAAATAAGCTAAAGTCTCATAAATAAATAAATAAAGACATGGAAATGTGCTATTTGTTCTTTGTGCAAGTAGCAAAGACTGTAAGCAATTAAAAAGTTCATTTCAAGCCCTGATTATTTTCATAAAGAAGCAAATTGGAAAGGAGTTCTGATCCCCTGGGAGATAAGCTCTGAAGATCATCTCAGGACTAGAGCTGAAAAATATATCTTGATGGAAGACAGACATACTCCCCCCACCCAAAAAAAGTCTCCCATGCACATCTGAGGCCACTCATCTGAAACATGAAAGGTTTAGTTACAAATGAAGATTTTTCCTAGTGTTCCTATCTGTGAACTGCTGCAGATGCTGTTCTGGTAACATCCTGTGTCCATTGAAACTGGTGACAAAGCCCTCATTGATTTCAACAGCTATAGCTGGCTGAGGGGCATTACAGGCTATGTGACAAAGCAGTATGGTTATGAATAATTGCTTCTGTACAATACTATTTTTTGATAAGCCACAAATTTGTGAAACACTCCCTCTGTAGGCTAAAATATTCCCAGCTATGTTATGTTCCTAAAGACAACTTTTGCATATATCAAAATCAGTGGACCCAACTTTATTCTACCTCAGATCAACTTTAGAGATTTCTTAGTTGTAGATTTTATGCCTAAGAATTCATGTTGACAAATCTTGGCCAGAAGTTGCATTCTTTTCTGAGATGGAGTATGCTTGGCTACAGGAATTTGGAAAGCAGGAGGGTGCAAAAGTCACTGCTGAGCAGTTATGCAACCTACGTGCGGGTTGGGGTGAAACTGCTTAAATTAGGTCACAGTCTTTATTTTCCAAAGTGTCTTTGATTGCCTTAGTAATTATTAGTCTACAGGTGCCCATGAAAGCTCGATCTAAGCAGCTTTTGTTTAGGTATTTATAGAGGCTTTTCCTTATCTTTTGGCAAATTCCATGCCTAGAACCTGAGTCTGAAAAAAAAAAAGTTTGGAAACAAGCTTCTTTTATAAGCAATAAGTTGTTGGTCAGTTCTTTTTCATGCTATTTTAGATGTTGCCATTGCAGGTACATTTTGTTTGTCAACTGTGATACTACAGAGGGCCTAGTGTCCAAAAAACATCTGGTCTGCTCCTGGGGTGCCAAATATTTTCTTACCTGATTTGTGATTTGCATGCACATTAGTTCCATAAGGAGGAGAAGGAATTTTCAACAAAGCTTTTCATTATCTGGGGCATTTGTTTGGGGGTGGTGGTGGTGCTCAAAAATACTTCTGTGAGACAAATTCATGGCTGCTTATTGAAGATCTCACTCTGAAATCGCTCTGTGTAGATTCCAATCTGGCACGAAAGGATGCAAAGTGTTGACACCAGGAGAAGTGACTCAGAGCTGTTCATCGGGGTTACTGGAGTTCCACACGTTGAGAGGCGGTGAATAAAAAAGCCAGGAAATTCTGCAGTTTAATTTAAAAACTTGTGTTACTGAAGAACAGACGAGCACCTGAAGTGTTTCCTTCAATCATTCAGTCATGCAAAACCATTTCTTCGGTACTTTTTCCTGAAGAATAAATATCGCAGACCAGAATAACTGAAAAATGGGCTTTTAATTATGAAAAGCCTCACTGCTGAGCAATCAAGAAGTTAAAAGTGGAAAGCCTGCAGGCAGTTGTCTGTTTAGCGAACTTAAACAGTGAAAAGGTGCTTAATTAAAAAATACCCACGTCAGCATTTAAGTGCCATGTTTTAGTGTGTTAAAGGGACATAAATGGCTTGGGGATAAGTAATAAACAGTAAAACCTGTCAGGTGTAGGCTGCTGATCAAAATCCACTGCATGGCAGTCATATCTGACATTTATCCACATATTAAATGCCAAGAGGTTAAAGATCGTACATGGCTAGCAAGAAGCTTCTACCCACATCAAAACATTAAAGCTGGGCTTTTATAGAGCCTTGGGAACACTTAATGGTTCCTATTTTGACAGAATTGAGTAAATTAGGAACTAAAGGATACGGAAATGAGAAAGTTCCAAGTGCAGCAGGAGATTCAGGGGCTTAGACCAGTAGACTATTGCTAGTGCCTGCCTCCAACAGTAGCTTTCCCACTTCACACCATGCATTAACAGCTATGGTGTGAGCCTGTGAAGGTTACTCCAGAAACAAACTGTTACCCTTCAGCTGCCGCAGAGTCCAGTGTGTGAGTGGTTACAGCAAGCCTGCCCACAGAAATAAAAAGCTGTGTCTTTTGAAATCACTCTTTCACTGAAGAGGGTGGTGAGGCCCTGGCACAGGTTGCCCAGGGAAGCTGTGGCTGTCCCATCCCTGGCAGTCTTCAAGGCCAGGTTGGACGGGGCTTGGAGCAACCTGGTCTAGTGGAAGGTGTCCCTGCCCACGGCAAGAGAGGTTGGAGCTGGATGAGCTTTAAGGTCCCTTCCAACCCAAACCATGCACTCATGTGGGGACACATGTATCCTCAGACAGGTTATAGGGATATTTGTAACCTCATGCATCCAAACACTCCCTATGGTTCTCTTCATCCATACTTCCCTTTCCCCAGGGATTTCCTATGAAACATAAACCAATTTAATACCTGAACCATTAACAGACTTCCTAAAGTATTACTGAGCTTTTCCCCATTCTGCCCTAAAGCTTTAGGAGTGTTTCCATCCTTGGCATGATAAGGTGGATCTGCTGTCCAGACACTAAAGAGAATTTGTTAATGACTGCCCCTTGTGATAGAAGTATTATTGAACCATTAATCCATCATGTGGTAACTTGCTTAACGGGGCAAGCCCTGAAACCCATATTTCATGTAAACTAGTGTATGAGACTTCAAATACACACTATGTATACAGGGTACTACCAGCAGCTTGCTGGGACTAGAAATAAAGTCAGCCAGTTGCTTGTGAGGCAGATCAGATCTGGGAGACTGGAGCTCTCCTCTAGCTGCCTGTGCTCTGCCTGGATAAATAAACAGCTTCAGTTTCTCTGGCTGACACGGCATAAATCTCAACAGTGCCAAAAGCTCATCCAGAAAAACATTCAAAAGCAAATGCTGTCACGAAACCTGAATATGAGTGAGTTCAGGATCTGGAACATCATTTAATGTAGTTCTGTATATAATTCTCCCAGCTGCTCCAGACATACTCTTCTACAGTCTTCCCATCCACCCAGCTGCTTATTGCTCCCTTTCATTAGTATCTGAGTTCTCCACAAATAATTTTACAAAATTACCTCCCTTTCACTCGTTTCACTGCTTGTAGAGAAAAATGTTGATGATTTTATATTTCCTTGATCAATGAATGCCAGATAGATATCTGATGTGTGGGTTGGTGTTTGTGTAGGTTTCAAGATCACATTTGGCCTGATCCAAACCCCAATGCAATTATTATTTTGTTGTTTTTTTTTTCATT